GATCACTGCGAGGACGGAGAGAGCGAGGAGATTAAATCACAGTTAAATCCTGGTGAATATTTGGTGCAACAACAAGACTTTGTTATGTGTGTTCCTGCTGTGACCCAGCGAGAGTCAGACACACACTCACCACAAAACATCAAGTAGACAAGTCCCATCTTCATCCTCCATGTCAACTGAGGAGGAAGAGGAGGACGGATGCATGTGAGCAACGTGATTAATCAGCAACTCATTACACAGGTTTTTATTGTTGTTATGATTGTTTTCATTATCAGTTCATCTCTAGGTAAGTCAGTTATCATGGACGGCATCGACAGCGTCACGAAGGTTGTTCCTCACCCTCTAAGAAATATCTCAAAAATAAGAGTCTCATAAACTCGTGACTCTCGCAGCTTCCTGTTTTTTGAGTGATACAGTGTAATAACAATAACAATTATAACTAATAATAGTAATTACAACATAATAACTAATAATTTAAATTAATCAACAGTCATAGAATAGTTTTAAAAGAATACCAGTTAATAAAGGTTCCCAGATCTTAAAGCAACATTCTCATATTGTTGGTTTGAACCAAACCTAAATCTAATCCACAGAAATAATCCATTTTAATTCAAATATATATAAAACTGTAAAACACGGCATATCTTCTCATTTGAAGGAAATTTGCTGGAAATGTTTCAGATTTAGATGATTGATAAATTGTTAAAATCACTGTTTGTTAAATTTACAGTTGATTGAATATTTTATCAGCGGACAGTTTCCTTCAGTCCTGACTTTTGTACAGAGAACTAGTTCCCAATCTTTGTGGCTTGTGACCCTTTAAAATAAGAGTTGTGTATTTTGAGTGATTTTCTCTTCAGTTTGTTTCATTTAAAGTATTTTCAGAGGCCTGAAGAGACGAAGGTATCATTTATTTCATGAGAAAAGTAGAAAACACTAAATAATTTTGTGTAACAGGAATGTCTGGTGGCCCCTCGGATCTCTCATGGCCCCAGGTTGGGAACCACTGAACCATTTCATAGTTTACAGGATGAGGCAACTGTTCTTTATCCCACCTAGTTATAAATCATCCAACAACCCGAGGTCCCTCATGTGTGCAGATGGAGACTGACCACAGTGTGAACCTACTTCATATGTGAGAGGCCCCATACAGAGCGGTCAGGCTGAGTTCTGGTGGTGGCCTCATGGGAAGTCGTGGCCGGGCTTCAGTGACTGGAGGCGGGGGGAAGCCAGGCCGAGGCGGCGGGACGGAGACAGGTCCTCCCTCTGCTGGGGCATCGCTGCGTCCTCACGGTGTGGAGAGGCTGTAGAGGGGGGGGGGGGCACAAACACACCACCACATGCCGTCAGGTCACTTGAGGTTACCAGAAGCCAAAACACATTCTCATCTCACCGGTGAGACACAAGATCAATATATGATTCATCAGTTGGTCCTGAGCTGTGGGCAGAGCTGCTGTGGTGTGGCAGCGGGCATCTGGGCAGGCTGGAGCAATAATCTACCAATAATAGCATCATATTTGTGACTGTATCGATTATGCCCGAGGCTGATGAGGAAAATGGAAGCTATTGTTGTGGCTATCACAGACACGAGCGGCAGATCTGAACGCCTCAGCTGTAAATAGACGGCTCCCCCTGCGCCTTGGATGTGACTTGTCCTCTCTCCTCATGGCTGAAAAACACACACACACACACACACAGAAGCAGCAATGTGGAAACGCTCGGGCACATTGCAAAGCCCAGTTTTCTTTAACATTACTCACTGCCTTACTCTCAATCCCCCCGGTTTTCCCTTAAAAAAAACACACACACACACAAACACACAAACACACACCAGACAAACCTCCCTCTCTCCGATCCCGCTGACATATTTTTGTTTACAACACGACAACCGCATTAACACCCTCAAGGTTCCGCATCGCCCAATGAAATCCAGGCAAACGACCCTCATCTAAATCTGCAGCGGCAAGTGCATGCTATTCTCTGGCAATAACAGGACCGGGGGTACAGTGATGCATTTACAGGTTACGTAAGGTGAATGTGTTCATGTGAAATTAATGTCCCAAAAACGATGCGGGGTGCGGAGCCAGCCGCTTGCACCTTGTGGTGTTTTTCAGGGTTTTTTTTTTAATTTATTTTTAAATTTTTATTTTTTCTGTGAGTGGGACCACGGCAGCTGACGCCTGCTGTAAATCATATCGCGGTAACAAAAGATGCCTTGTGTTAAATATCATTTCCACGCAGCCAGCCCCGAGCGATCCCCTTATCGTTGTGCCATTAGAGTAATTCCGCAATTCAAAAAAAAACAACCAAGAGGAGGAAAAAAAAAAAACTCACCCCTTCTTTGTGGTTTATTGTCCTGTCAAGCGGGCCTCTGCGCCATCGATTCTCACTCAGTGGTCTTTTCAGATGCTAAAAGGAGGAGAGGGGGTGGTGGTGGTGGTGGTGGTGGTGGTGGTGGTGGAGGGAGGTTGGGGATGGGTTAGCCGGTAGGTTGGGTGGGAGGAGATGGAGGGGGTAGGAGGGGAGGCGGTGGAGAGGAGGTGGGGGGGTGGAGTATCCGGTTGTATGTGAGGAAAACACACTTGAGGGGAGAAGCCGATCACAACACAAAGGTGGAAAAAAAAAATACAAGTGAGAGGAGGAGGAGGAGGAGGAGGAGGAGGATCCAGCTTCAGCGGCGCGACTGCAGGAGAGGAGACTGGCCGCCTCCTGCGCTCCGTCGGGCGGCAGACGCGTCAAATGTCCCCGCGCTTCAGTGCCGAGCTCCTTCATCCAGGATACAGATGTTTTTCATCTTGTTTATTGATTTTCTTTTTTTTCTTATTCAAAAATCAATTTAATAAAAAGAAAATCAATATATCAAGACTACTACTGTGCCAAAAGAGGGGGAAATAAGAAAAAAAAAGACATTTTATTCCTGAGCACTTTTCTACAGTCAACACCAAACTGTTCAACAGGGAGACGGAGGCGGAAGGAAAAAGATGAAAAAACAAAGAAATGAGGGATAAAATACTAAAAGAGACACAGAAGGAAAAGGAAAGTAAATAGCAAAATGAGAAGAGACATCACAGAAAGAAGAGAAACCACGAAGAAGAAAAAACATCTTGTTTTAATCTTAATCCCAGACAGGAAAAAGTGACACAAAAAGACAGAAAGAGTGGGAAAAAAAGGAAGATTCAAGGGAGAAAAGACATGACATAAGGTTTTTAAAATCTTATTCCCACAAGGCCACTCTGCTTTGAAAGTCCAGGAAATTGTAAATATTCTTTGTGCGCTTGTTCGCCTGTATTGAGTGAGAAAAGAGGAAATTACTATGTGCACCACAGCAAAGCAAATTGACAGCGCTTTTCTGAAGACTGAAAACAGACAAAGAGAAAAATAACAGCAAGAGAAAGGCAGAAATGACAGAGGGAAAAGAAATAGGAAGAAAAAACAAACCAATGGAAGAAGGGCTGTTTCATCTATATATATATTTTTTTAAAATCTTATTTCCATAAAGCCAATCTATTGCGAAAGTTTAAGAATTTTAAATACTTTGGAAAAGCATAGTTTAAAAAAAAACAGTACTGTATAAAGCAAGGGCGTAGGTTTGCATGTGCACGGCAGGGACATGTCCCTACCAATATTTGAGTGGACAATGCCGCAAATGCTCCGACTGCCCCATGCACCAAATCATCCTGCTTCATGCCAAAAATTAAAAAATAATTGAAAAAGTAGAGATATTCAGCACTTTCCGATTATAGCAATCCTTATTTTTAATATAAATAAATAAATTTAAAAATGGCTACTTTACTTTTTTACTTTTCCATGCAGCCGCCTGTCTCTGTAATCAGCACCACGTGTTCTGGAGCAATGTCCCGCCCACAGCACGATCTGATTGGTTAGACGTCACGTGTGTTAGCCTATCATGCTGAAGGCTGCTGTTAACACAGACGGAAAAACAGACCTGCGTGCGGAAGGTAAGACAGCAGACATCACTGAAGTTTTAATAAACATCACGATCCTCTACACTGAAGTTACAACAACACCACACTCTGATGAACAAGTTCACCTGTCGGTCCAAGACACACCGAGAGGGAGAGAGAGAGAAGCTAGCGCTAACTGCTAAGCTAATGTAACTAGCACAACTGAACAGCATGCAAACAACTGTTGAATTGGTGAAAGTCGCTAAAAGGAGCAGAAAGCTCTGGGTGTTGGAGCAGAACTAGTGTAAGTTTAAATGTACGGCAGGTAGTAAGTCACTGTGATGAAGAAAACGGCAACATTAGCTGTGTTCAGATAGAGTAGCAATAAATTCTACCAGTAACAGAAACTTGAGATGAGACACTACACTGACGTCAGTACGTCAACGGTCGCTAACCACCGTCACTAAAAAGACATTTTACTACCGAAGTAAAATCACTGTAAAAATGTTCTCAGAAAAAAGTACAAAAGTTAAACTGTCTCTGAGTAAACGTGGTACATTTTAAAAGGGGAGGTAAAACATGTTATATAGTGATTATAATATATGATAAAACAGAGGTGTTTCTGTTATTTAGCCTACTTTCACAGATAGACAGGAAACTGATGTAAAGACTACGTTTTGAGTCGTATTTTGAAAGTCAAAAAATGTGATAAAGGAAATATTCTCACCAGGCAGAAAAAAAATTAAAAAAAAAAAAAAAAAAATCAATATTTACATGACATGCTTATTTGTCAGTGTATTGAGTGAAAAGGGGGAAGTTACCATGTGCAATACAGCAAAGCAAATTGGACTCATTGGAAGCACTTTTGTACAGTCAACACACAGAGGAAAAGTCTAAAGGAAAAATACAAAAATATAGAGAGAACGAGGAAGACGGGAAAGATTATAGAGGGAAAACACAAATGAAAAGGAGAAAGAACAGAGTAAGAAGGAAATTGAAGAATAAGATAAAAGAAAGAAAACAGAATTCAGAAGCTGTTATTTAAAGGAAATCTTTATTAATAAGTCAAACATTAAAATACAAAATACACCTCCTCTTCATGAGAAAAAAAAAGAAAAAAAAAAAGCGTTTTAAAAACTTCTCAAAACAAGGTAGGTCAAACTTTTCCAACACAAGTTACAGATAGTAAAAATGATATTGAACCCCATCCCCCCTTCCAACCCTCTCCACCCATCCGTCCACCCCCTCAGAGGCTTCACTTTCCTGCCTGCTGGGCCTGACGGCGAAGCAGCACGTAGATCTTCTCTTTGATCCAGTCCTTGTTGTACGGCTGGTACGTCTGCGTGTCGGCACGATACCTGAGGAAGCACCAGAAATTATATTAAGTTTCAGGTCTCTTTTTTTATTTTGTTTTGTTTTTTTGGACCGGCTGCGCTGGATACTCACTTCTCTGATCTGGGCAGAAAATTTATTGGAAAACATGAACTGCTGATCAATTTGAGACACTTTTCATCTAGAGTACTTTTCCCGCTTGTGCTCTCCTTGAGATCAGAGGTCAACTTCAGCTACCAGGAGGGAGAGAAGTGTCATGGCGGCTGGTAGGGATTGTGTCTTGTTCCAGGGCATTTAAGCAGATAAGTTACTAACAAACTAAGAAACTAACAAAAATACCTCAAACCGTCAGGGCTTCAAGATACACTAAAAAAGCTGAAAACAGACTGACTGATATTTAGAAAGAGTTAACCAATTTCTAAAAACTGGTCATATCAAATTTACTGTCACCAAACTTCTGAGGGTCGTAGGGTTGACTTTAGGGTCGTATGTTTTGAGAGTTTTGTGATTGAAATATGAAAATAACGTGTCTGACAAAGACTGAAATGATTTATATATTAAGAGTTTATTGAGAAAATGGATAATATATTTGTTGGAATAAATCTAATTCACCTTCCTTTGGCTTTATGTTTTGTAAATCATGGAGAATTATATGAACATTATATGTAGAGCTGCTTTAGGACTCACTGTTCTCGATATATAATGTTTGTGATGTGGATGTCAAGATGCCTGGCAGTGATGATGTGTTCAACAAATAAAATGCATCTAAAACAAACACACCCCCCCATGACTGACCAGGAAGATCCCCATAATTATATGAAAGCGTTTTGGCCAAGGGTGATTCATCTGATTAATCACTACGGGACAAATTAATCAAATGTTCCTGTATCTCTCCACAACAAATTAAAATTCTCATGGGTTTCTGTTTTTTTTTTTTTTTTTTTAGGGATTCAGGACAAACGGGTCCGTCTCCAGCAGCCCCTCACTCTGGACTAACGCTACATGAAGTCACACTCACAGCTTTGGAGGCCCCTCCACAGGGAAGGTGTAAATAAACAGGTAAACTGTGGGACACACAGGCCCACCTCCACCACGAACAGGAAAGAGTGGTTACCATGGAAACTGATGAACGCATAGCTCAAGCTCAGTCTGTTTACCAGTGTGCAAATGCAAATATTTCCAAAACAGTGAGCACAGTGTGTTCTTAAAGCTGGATGCATATAGATTTTTTTCATATTTGAATACGTCTTCCATCACTATTCATATTGTATCACGACCTTATCTAAAGCTACCATGAGAAAGCTGTATATAGATTATGGAGCAAATATTTATGTGCATGATAAAGGTGATAATTCTTGATGTAGCAAGACCAATAATTAATTTGTTTTAAATGTGTGCTTTTGTTATGGGGTACTGGAGTTACATTATACAATCAAAGGATTTTAACTTAGACATGCAAGATGTGCAACATGCTCTGTTTGTGTATCCTATTCTCCAACCAAAGTCTTATATTAGAAACCCATTCAGATTCAGAGTTGCCTCTTGAACATTTTAAAAACTAGTTATATCATGAAGTTGTTTGGCAGCACACATGTACATAAATAAACCAGAACAGGCTGGTTTATTAGCAGCAGTTTCAATGTACTGAAATCAGTTTCCTTGTCATACTTACACCAAACAGCTGAGGTCAGCCAGGTCATCGATGAAGTCAAACAGCTGGCTGATGTCGTATGTTATCGATGGACTGTTGGGGTTCATTCTCTTTAAATGCTCCTCGTACATCTTACACACACCTGTGCAGGAGACAGGAAATACAATATATCAAGCCTCTCACTATAAAACTTACTGTGAACTGTCAGATAAATACATGATAAATGTATTTATATTTATATAGTTCCATTAGTATATCTTGGTCAAATCATACCAAAACAAGCACTATTTAGATCTTCAACAAATCTGTAATCATAATTATATTTCAGTAAAGACAAACAAAAGCATCATCAGCTCACCTTCCATACACTCATTGACTGATTCATAGTCAGCGTATGTCCTCCCCTCTGGCCTCTTGGTGGGCTGCACCAGCAGGATGGTGTGGGACTGAAAAACCAAACACAAGTTGTTAGACTAGTTCAACTATTCGCTTCACTGCTCGGTTGAAATAATAATTTGGTTTGACCAAAAAAAATCTATTCCAGGTATGTATATAGTAAATGTACACGACATTTGTTATTTACATATCCACACATGTACAGACCTGCATGTTTTGCTCTATAATACATCAATATAAACTTAATATACTGAGGTTTTTGTTGTCAATCTAAGGTCACTGGTTAGGTTAGTAAACGAATGATGGGTAATTGTTATGATGTTTAAGGTGTTAAAGAGGAATATTAGCAGGTAATTGGTTAACAATCATCACATTTAGTCCTATTCCGCCGTGATGTTGTTCTCTTTAGCGCTGCAACGATTAGACAATTAATCGATTAATCATTCGACAGAAAATTTAAGTTAAAAGTCGCTTAAATATTGATGCAAGGTAATACAAAAATTAATGATATAGCATAGCACTCACATTAGCCATTTCTCTGGGTTGAGTATTTTCACCTTCACACATAAGTACTTTTTACGGATAATATTTACGCACTTTTGCTCAAGTAAAGTTTTGAATACAGGACTTTTACTTGTACTGCAGTATTTTTTATCTTTTGTACGCAGTAAATCTGAGCTTTATTTGTCACGACAGTGCGATGGTTTTGTTGCAGCAGCTCAACTGCTAAACGTCCCCCACATTCATGCTAACGTTAGCAGAGAGCTTTTATTTTTATGAAACACCTGTTATATTGACGTAAAACTGACACACTAGTTTGATTTAACACGTTCACACAAAAAAAGTCTGTTCTATAAACATTGAATCACAGCATACTAACCATGTTATCAGTGTATTTTTAGTCGGTTTCGGTCGATTTTCTTGAATCCTTGCTTCTCCTAAACGGGTTGACCTTTGTCACAGGAAGAACAACTGGCCATCAATGCTGCATTCAAGTAATCTCGGCAAAATGGGAAAAATAGCCGTATTACGACTTGGAAGTGTTTGCGCATTAACCCGCGGTGGTTAGGTCCAGTGCTAACCTAAATTAGCTATCTTTGCATCATTATGTATTTGTAACAATTCGTTAGCAACAGTGTATAGAAAAAAATGGGCTGAATGGATTGCATTAAGGTCAATGTTAGATTCTATTTTGATGTAACTGCGAATGGTTTCCCGGCTCCGCATTAAAAGTCAGAGGCTGAAGTGAATGGCTTTTCGGTTCAAACGTTATGAGTTGAACGCGTCATGAATATTTTAGTTTCTAACAGTTATATTTCGTGTCTCTAACTGGAGTCTGTTGTTGGTTTAAAACTAACAACGAGTCGATGGGATTATATAAATAAGAAGTTGACATGTTTGAATCAATTATGTTATTTTAAACGTAACGAAATAAACAATACAAACAAATCTCAAACAGAGTTTTGATCCTGAACGCCCCCTAATCTGTGAGAGATGGAGGAAGTAGCTAGCGTGAGTTTACACCAGCGGCCGGATGTTCTGTGAGCAGACAGGAACAACAAAGAAGGGAAAGCGCCCGGGTTTTAAACCTACTTCAAAACACAAAATCAAAGAAATTATCTACTGTTCATAGTAGGTAAGCGACATTCTTTCAAACATGCTATTCTTGTACTGTATTTCGTTTGAGCTATGCGAGTTATGTAGCGTTAGCCACCCAGCACGGCCGCTATCTGCTCTGCAGTTATAACATTATTGGCTAACTAGCCATTTTAGCAACTCGCTAATGTGAGTAATGAATACAGTTAAATAATTAACTTAGCCATTACATAATTACCAAATAACGTTACCAAAAAATTCATTTGTATCCTTCAGAAGTTCAACAAATGATAACTCGATGTGGTTTCCCGGCGTTTGATCAGTAACGTAACCGTTACATTCCCGTTATAGTTAGCTGTAAACGCTTAAAAATCTTATTTTTGGTGAGTATTCGTCAAACTTATGTCGACAGGATCACATCTAACGGTATACAGAGCTACAATATTGACCTTTAATTAATCAGCATAGTTGCTATCATGTTTTTGTTTTTGTTTTAATTTTTTTTTAATCAATGATAGGTTAATTTAGCTTGATATAATACCCACATGCAGTGGTGGAAAGTATATCGCAAGTACAACTCTGAGGTACTTGTATCTCACTTCAGTATTTTCCATTCCCTGCTATTTTCTACTTATACCCAGCTACATTTCCTGACCTTTTTTAAAATAAAATAGTGTGTAGCTCGAGACCAAGTCAAATAACAGATGTCTATGAGAGTCATTTACTCTCTAAACTTCTCCAATAGTTACATTTAAATAATAGCTCGAGGCACAAAGATGAAAAGTATTTTAAAAAATGAAGAGATTTGAAAAACTTTTTCTTCTTTTTTTTTTTCTTCTGTCCTGGTTCATTAATCATATTATGATCACCCAGATTTATTTTGTGACTCTTTCCAGAAGGCCAACCCCTAGTTTGGGAACCACTGGACTAAACTATTTAATACAAAAAAAAGTAGGTCGTTCCTCAACTTGCTGCTTACACATTTGCTGCGGTATAAACAATTTAATAATGTTGTATATCAGTCAGAGGGCCTATAATTCTCCACAATTTGTACTTTTACTGGAAGCTGTAATGTTTCTTATAAAGCTCTAAAATATACTGAAGTAAGCTGTATATTTCAATATGAGTAATCCCTCAATACTTAATTGGACTTTTGTAGAATCTCAGAAAAACTTATTAACAATTAATATGTGTTAGTGTATATATATATATATATATATATATATATATATAATATATATATTTTATTTATTATTATTATTATCTTTTACAGCACTTTATTTATATTTAAATGTGTAATGCTTAAGTTGTGTATTCATGCCCCCTTGTGTGCCATGTGCCACTGTTTTATGGGGGACAGTTTTGACTGTAATATGCAGCATGCTTATTACCCACACCCCAAACTGACTGTAGAACATTACCTACCAAGAATAAATATGGGTCCTCAGCAGTTGGTGTCTCCCAAAGTTACTGTCTATTTAGTACAGAATTTACTCTCTGTGTAACTCTGCACTGCAGCTTAGTCTAGTGAAACACAAAGAGGGATTTTCATATTAAGAGGGGAACTGTGGGGGATACATAATACCTAATTCAAGAAACCTGATAATGTCAGTGTTGGCTGATCTTTGAACAGAATGAGGACTGTGGATTGTGTAGAGTCACCACTGGACTTTATGACCGGTGTAGTAACTCAAATCTCATTTGTTTTAAATATCATTGGATCACTGGGAATTAAGACAGACTGTGAAAGTATCCTTTAATGCAACAGCCTGCTCTTTTTACTAACATCAATGGAATTTTTTTGTAACAATAACACAGATTTTACAATGGAAAAGCTCCAGAATAAGATGCTATCTCACTGTGTGTGTGTGTGTGTGTGTGTGTGTGTGTGTGTGTGTGTGTGTGTGTTTGTTTGTGTTTTAATCGCTGTCAATTCAATTTCTGACCACAAATTAGCCTCACAGGGCGTTACAGTCCCTCTATGTTTACACCACTGATTTGATTTGCTGCCACTGATATGCTGATATGCCTTTATTGCATCTATTTCTGGTGCCATAAGCTCAATATTGTCCCCTGCTCTCTTTCATCAGGGTAAAAGAATTTGGTTTGCATGTGAGGACAAGTGTCTGCCGAGCCAACAATGGCGAACAATGCAGAGGATGTTGAAAACAATATGGTGAGTACGAAAGAATGTGTCACAGTTGCTCTAACACTATCTGTCTGTGTTAATGTATTGGGTAATGATTAGCCAACATTTTAGGTGCTGGCAACAAAGTGCTTCAGTTTCACGTCAGTGATGAAAGTCATCTGTTTCTTCGTCAGCCTGTGACGCCACACACTGTGGAGGAGTCTCAGTCTGATAACTGGTTTTCTTTGGCCTTTCGTATAATAAATGATGTTTAGAGATGGTCATGTTCTGATAAGGAAATATGTTAGACCTTGAATCACTAAAGTAGAACCATCAGGAACATGAATACGAGTGTGCCGTCTTTGCTTTCTGCTTTTTGCTCTTATTGTAAATAAAGGTGTGGCCTTCCTCATGTAAGGGGTCAAAGTCTCCCTTACTGTCTCAATCTGCTTAACAAACCTAAGCCTCGTCCAGGTTTTTGTTTACCCCATAACAGTACAGTACAACACTATTTCTAAGTCTGGCGACTGACATTTCTGTCTTGAATGGCAGATTATGCTGATTAGGTCATTCAGGTCATTATGGGATGAAGTCAGTACGACTATTTAACACACATGTTGATATACTATTACAGTATCACTACCCTCAACAACAGGTCAGCTTAAAACGTATTCACTGAAGTGGTCTGTAGTTCTTGTGTCCTTGATACGAACATTGGCCTTATTCCCAGGACTGAGAAACAATGCAGCGTACCACACACTGAGCTCATTTTGTACAGCAGCTTGTTTTAAGAGCTGTGGCAGCTTTCACTATTCAGATCAGTCTCTGGAGATCCCTCCTGTCTTCATTTCTGTGTACCTGGTGAGATTGCTTTATGTCTGTGCTGCCGCATGTCTCGACTCGCCTGGCAGTCTGACAGTTTTAGTTCACAAAGTCTCCTTGAATTTCCTCTTTATTTTTTCCTGACGGAACAGGTCCTCGGGGTGGGTGGGAGCGAGCTCAGTGTTGTTATCCTTGGAGGAACTGGTGTAGTGAGCGTAAATGTGCCAGTTTAGCTGTGAAACACAGATGGCCTGATAACAGTTTGCTCTTGTGTTTGTTCAGTTTCTAAGAATTTTTGCCAGTAAAAACTGTGTTTCATCTAATAATATGATGGTCTTGTTCACATCTATGTTTATTCACAACTTTTTTTTTTCTGGGTTCTCAAGCTTACACAGCCTGAAACATAGAATATATGGACAAGATTGCAATAGGAACGGACACACTTGTGGCCTAAGTGTTTAAGGGGCCAACCATTAACCCCAGTGTACCTGTTTAATGGCAGTGTCACATTTCACAAGTCATTGTTGCTTGTAAAATTTGTCCCAGAAGGCCCATATTCCTGCAGGGCTCACAAGCAAGGCGTTGGTTCTGAAGAAGAGAAAGCAGAAATGATGCTGCAAATTAAATTTTGCAATTTTACAAATTAGATTAAATTAGCCTCTGACTGGGGAACTTTGTTGCATGCTATTACCCATATCTCACCCCTCCTTTCCTGTCATCTCTGTACTTTCACATAAAGTCATTAAATGCCCAAAAATACTTTACAATTACAAATGGCAAATTACAAAAGCAATCTGGCTAGTTGGCTTTTTATTAGATAGTTTAGAGCGTTGACTGACAGGACCCTCAGGATGTCCCAAAGGTTTTCTTAGATCATCACTCTGCTCAGTTTACTATCTGTGTGTTTTGCACTCTTCTTTTGATCTCATAAACATCTGTAAGTACATGTATATTTTGTTTGTGTTTATTACAGAAATATGCTGTTTAAACTGTCCCTACACCAGAATCATAGAAATCTCCAAACACTGAGCGTACATAGGAAATAATGTGATCATCTTCCCACACCGACAGAACCAACAGGAGTCCAGTGTGGCCCCTCAAGCCCCCCAGCAGCCACAAGAAGCTGGAGTAACCAGAACACGGTCCAGGGGGGGTTCAGGAGCTGGAGGAGGAGGAGGCGATGGAGGAGGAGGCAGTGGGCAGGAGCAGAACGGGCAGCCTCCCGCCGCTCGTCCTCCTCGTGTGGTGGAGACTGACGATGACGAGGAGGAGGAGCTGACCTTGAAATATGGGGCAAAGCATGTCATCATGCTGTTCGTTCCCGTCACCCTTTGCATGGTTGTTGTCGTGACAACCATAAAGTCTGTCAGCTTCTACACCCATAATGATGGGCAGAGATTGTAAGTATTATCACCCTTTTCAGGCGGATGGTGATAGATAGGGAAATAATGTGGGACTAGAGCCAGATTCACAGCTCCTCCTGCTCTGGTGTTTGAGTGAAATGCAACACCCCCGCAGTGCCACTAGGTGGAGTTAATGCAATATATACTGTATCTTTCCTACATCCTTTGAATACCAAGATGTTGCTGTAATTGCTTAAGACCATTATGTCTGACTCTGGCTCAGAGCACGTTTTAAATCTTCAGCTCTTATCCAGAGCAGTTTAAACCCCCGTAAGAGCAAATGCCAAGCTCAGTAAGCTTGATGTCAACCTCCTGTAATAAGAGCCGTAGTGAAAGCAGCAGCACATAGAATATACCCAGAAAATACTCTTGTATACATAAAATGATACCATGAGCTAGATAAATTCACTTTTTCATTATTGCATTTATTACACATTTCCTGTTCTTTGCTGTTTGACGGAGACGTGTCTTTGTAATGTGTGGTGTAAATGTCACCCTCAGGATCTACACACCGTTCCCTGAAGACACAGACACAGTAGCACAGAGAGCGTTGAACTCCATCCTCAACGCCACCATCATGATCACTGTGATCATCGTCATGACTCTGGTGCTGGTGCTGTTATACAAGTACCGCTGCTACAAGGTACAGACTCACACTCCACAGTCACGTCACATATGACATGAATAATATAAGAGTTTTGTTTGTTTAAACTACATTTAAACACGCCTTTCACAGGAGACTGTTTGCTCATGTTTTACTAATAACATTAAGATTGGTTACAGTTTTATTCAAGTACCAACATGAACAATACCAGGAGCCTAAAAACAAAGCAGCTGAATGGGATTCAGCCATCATAATAAAATGTTATTATTTACACCTGCGCTTTTTCCTATTGTGGCGAAATGTCAAAAAATTGTCCCTTGAAAAAGCCCTAATGGCAAATCAGGCTGACATTAAAATTTTAGCATCGACCAGCAGCATCTGTTTTACTGATATGATGGAAGTTCCTTCATGAACACAGCTACATACAAACAGTGAAAATGGTTTATTTGATGGACTGTGACGTTTTAATGTGCTGCTTTTTAAAGAATGTCTTCACTTTGAGTTTTAGTAGAGAACATTTGTGTATTTGTGTTTATTTCTCTATGACATGAAATATTCATGACTAAATTAGCCAGTTTTATATGTCAAGAGTTTAATACTATAAAACTGTGTGCTTTATCAAGGCTGTGAGGATGTGGTTTGAGGTTCCAGACTTACAGACAACCTAACCAAACCGCACCACAACTGCCATCACGTCTTCATCCAGTTTTGCTAAACTCTGAATGGTGCTCTGAAGTATGGGACATAACCCTCTGCGAACTGAAACTAGTCCATTTCAGATCTGTGAGAAATACACACAGTTACAAAAAGCTCTCCTGTGAACTGTTCTGACATCCCCAAACAATCTTCTGTTCACGTAGGACTCCATCACTCAGTGAGAAAAATAGCTGCTTGTGAAAATCTGTTTTCAGATCCTTTAATTCTGTCAAGAACAAGATTCTGGGGGAAACATTTAATGCTTCACTTTTATAACATTAACACAGTCATATTAAAGTTATTTACTTGATCATACACATGAGCTGTGTCTGAAATCATCCCTCACTCACTCATTCACAGGTGTAGTGTTTTTGCATCTATAAAACATAAAGAATTTCATTGTGTGATGAAGCTGTGGACACTAGTTTTTCTTTCCATTGTTGGAATATTTCAGGGATCTATATAGTGGATAAACTTAAAAACTCAGAATGAGGGACTCTAAAATAAGATAATAGAGAAGTGACTGGGAGGGAGTGAACAGGTCATTTCCTGTCAATCACTAACACTCTTTGATGGAGTCATGGTGGACTCGTCCTAAACCATTTTCACCGGGGACGTTTTGACTTGCCAAACACAGGTGCACCCACCATTGAAATGTCTGCATTACATTTAGGTGTGCCAGTTCCAACCCCCTGTTCTCTCATGTTCTTTCTGCATGTCGGGACACTGTCATGACCTTACTGCGACACTTGAATGGAACAGAGTCGTCATTAGCGTTATTAGTAACACCTGTGCTCCTCCTGCTCTGACAAGCCAAAATGTCTCCTGTGAAAAAAGGTCTATATGACTGATAAAGGTGTGAAAGTTGTTCTGTTCTAACCGTGAAGAAAATGTCGACAGAGTACTTTCTGTAAACCTGCACAGTCCCGAGTGGATTGTGCAAAATAATTAAAAGAAAACCTGCAGGGCTTTAAATGATGGCGGTTGCTCCTGATAGTTAATGGTTTGAACACCGGATTCATTAAACTGTTAAACGAGACACCTGGAGCACCAGACAGGTGGGGCTCAACACATCAGGACAATGGATTTTCACTTCAACCAAACTCTGTGATGCTCATTGTATTGCCCTCTGTGGTAAACCCCACCCATCTGGTAGTCGTGGTAGTTTAAAACAAACACTAGCAACAAGTATTAGCAAGTACTCATCTGTTGAAAGAGTGCCATACATTAAATCCCACGATTCTCTCTCCCATGGCAGGTGATCCAAGGCTGGCTCTTCCTCTCCTCTCTCCTCCTGCTGTTCTTCTTCTCCTACATCTACCTCAAGTAAGACGCACCACTTCACATTTTTTATCTCCTTTTCCAAACGTGCCCTTGTTTCTCATAAATGTCAAGTTGTCTTAATTCTTTATGGCGATAGATGGAGTCTTTCCAGGTATTTCCATCATGTCTCTGCTTCGTCCAACAGAGAGGTTTTCAAGACCTACAATGTGGCCATGGATTACTTCACCCTGGCGGTAATAATTTGGAACTTCGGAGTGGTGGGCATGATCTGTATTCACTGGAAAGGACCCCTGCGGCTCCAGCAGGCCTACCTCATCATGATCAGCGCCCTCATGGCCCTGGTTTTCATCAAGTACCTGCCAGAGTGGACCGCCTGGCTTATATTAGCTGTCATCTCAGTCTACGGTAAATCCCCTACTATCATCTTCCTCTGGCTTTGACCCTTTGTGCTTTTATGGAAGAGAGCTGAAGTCTTGATGTTTTTGTGCACCAACATGCCGTCATCTGGATCCTGTTAGTGCTTGAGGAAAAAGGGAAAACTTCAAATGTATAATCTAACTTTGTTTTTAAATTACAGAGTTGATGTACAGAATCATTTTATAAGAGGAAAAGCACTTTTTCAGAATCATAAAAAGCAACAACATTTGAACCAAAGCCTAGTTTATTAACAAGTAAAACTGCAGAATAAAGCCTTTAAATGGAAAGACTTTATAGATTATAACTTTATTGTACAGATTAGTTTTTCTCTCTAGCATCATGCATATATGCACTGAGGAGGGACAGATGTCATCATTAGGGTGCGGAGAGGAAAGATGTGTCTCTAGACATAAAGCCTTCACACTTTAAGGAAATGTGCAAAACTATGATGAAAGGAATTGTGGGGGAGACAAAGTTGAAAGCTGAAGTCACGACTGCTGCTGTGCCAGCAAAAACAGCCAGTGTCTCATAAGCTTCCTTCTTACTGAAAGGCAGCGGTGATCCGTTGAAATAGTGGGGATTGGACAAAATAATAATTGTAGGTAATTATAGTAGTTTGATTTCATTCGGTATATGAGATTTTGGGGATAACAAGAGCAGGTCAGAGTCATTGTCAGATCAGTTAAAATATACCACTACCTGTAGATGAGAGCAGAGACTGTGTATTTTGACTGAAGTCCCGGCCTCCTGTTGTCACAGATGTCACGTCCAGCTGCTGTTCTTGGCCTCTCCTCTGTTTGGTGGCTCACATCACTTGTTTGGCCTCCGTCTTCTCTCCCCTCACAGATCTGTTAGCGGTGCTCTGTCCCAAAGGGCCCCTGAGGATCCTGGTGGAGACGGCTCAGGAGAGGAACGAACCCATCTTCCCTGCCCTCATCTATTCTTGTAAGATAAACACCAACTGTAAATCTGAATGTATTAACATTTTATTTGATTAAAACAGAGGAGGACAATGAAATATGTGACAACTTGAAAGCTACGTAAAGAGAAAACACACAGCAATGTTGCACAGAATCAATATTTTAAGACTTTTTGGCGGTTGGTTTGTCTTTGACTCTGCTTCTAACACAAACCCTGAAACCTCTTACCATTTTGACTGACTTCTCCCCCAGCTACGATGGTGTGGCTCGTCAACATGGCCGACACTGACGGGCCGAAGAGGAACTCGACAGAAGCAGCTTCGTTTCAACAAGAGACTCCACAAGGTGAGTCGGGGCGTCAAAGTGTTTGTGGTCATGTGGCCGGCTGGTGACCGGTCACGCCGTGTGATCGTGGTTTAGTCTGACTGATATCGCTCGTCTGCAGCCGTGGTGTCTCCTGCGCCTTCCAGTCCGTCACAGGACGACGGAGGCTTCACCACCAACTGGGTCAACCAGCAGGAGCACCAGCTGGGACCGATCCAGTCCACTGAGGAGAGCAGGCGGGAGATCCAGCAGATGCCGTCTGCCCGTCCTCCTGTTGAAGAGGATGATGAAGAGAGTGAGTGCTGTCATGTTTGTCATTTTTGTTGATCCACATTGTTTATTCAACCATGTGACCTTCAAGTTACAAGGGGTTTATAAAAAAACATACTTTTAAACAGGGGGTTGTTCACATGAACTTTTGTCGTTTAGTTTATTTTCATTTAAGTTGTTGTTGCCAGTGATGCTTCAGTCCCTGTCCTGACCTTTGCAGAAGCCCAGCATAGATCGTGCTTCTGTAATATGCCCGAGCTTTAAGAAGCTAAGACGGATCAAATATCTTTCATTGATTCAATTATGCGATCAATTCATTGAGCCTGACGTTTAGTGAGATCACAGTCAGTGCCAGCAGCTCTTTAAAAGAAATCCCATCTGTCTCACAACTCTTCAATTGACCAATCGGTAATGAAAACCACATGTAGGTATTAGGTATAACTGTTATGTTGTCGCTGAGCTGCGACGACTGCGATTCTCAAAAACTCGCTTTTATGAGCTAAAAAAGATTATTTTTTTTTAGCGAGAAAAAATATCTTAGAAATGAGAAAGAATTTCAGTTTTGTGAGGATGTATTTTTCAGAAGTTTTTGAGGAGGTTTTAACTGTTTATGTGACATAAGAAGTAGAAGAAAACCATAAAGAAACATTCAAATCTTTGTTTTTATTCTGAATTCAGAAACACGTTGTTTCAACCAGCAGCAACAGGGTTTATATTGACATTGTTTTTTATATTGTAGATGAATAAAAACAGAAATTTGTTTAATCTGGACCAAATTCTTTATCTTGTAGGCCAATTGTTTTTAATGTTCATAATGAAAATGAAAGCTAACATGATAATACAGAGACGCGCTGCTGTGTAGGAAAGAAACACAAGTATCATGTGTTGGGAGGAAAAAAACGATCAAATATTGTTTTACCATTAAATACATAAGTAAAAGTAGATTATGATCATTTTAGATTCACCTCCCAGCCCTAATATGAAGCCGAGCTCTGTAATTCAAACTCGTGAATTCCCAGATTGTGTGAGAGCCTCCTCCTCAGTGTGTAATCATCATCTTTCAGTTCTCTCTGCTCCGAACACATAAAACATGTAGGCATGTTTTTATGTGTTCCCTGTTCTGTGAAATTAGTGTGTGAGTGTGTGAGAGTTCGACTACATGTTAGTCTGCGGACTGTTTTTAGTCAGAGCAGATTAGGAAGCGATTATTTATGGCAATTGCTAGGTTTCATGTCTGTACTATTTTGGGGCCTGCGCTCTTTCTAACCTTAAGCTTCAGTAAATATGGGGTCTGCGCTCTTGTTTGTACAGTAATTACAGTTGAGAACAGATTTCTTTGGGGGTTGGAGGGTGTGGGGCTGAAGCGAATCTTGTGTTTGAATTTGACTCCACCCTGAATGTGGTGGATCCTGTGTTCTCAGGGGGCGTCAAGCTGGGCCTCGGAGACTTCATCTTCTACAGCATGCTGGTGGGAAAAGCCTCGGCCACGGCCAGCGGCGACTGGAACACCACGCTCGCCTGCTTTGTAGCCATCCTCATTGTGAGTGACCACAGATGCTTATTTTGGTGTCAGCCTCAAGTCACCACAACCTCATCTCTGTCTCTCAGCACATTATCTAACCCCGCTTTATGTGAACCACTTGATTGTATAACAGGCCGTTCTTTTCTTTCCTCCAGAGCTGATTTTGTTTGGTACACAATTACTCAATGTTTTATTTTGTCCGCCTCTGCCCCCGCAGGGCCTGTGTCTGACCCTGCTCCTCCTCGCCATCTTCAAGAAAGCGCTCCCCGCTCTGCCTATCTCCATTTTTTTCGGGCTGGTCTTCTACTTCGCCACCGACAACTTGGTACGGCCCTTCATGGACAAGCTGGCGTTACACCAGTTCTACATTTAGCAGGACGCTGCCCTGATAACCCTCACCCACATAGCTCTCTGGCTAACAACACCAGAGCGGTCCCTTTGCAGCCGGGGAACAAAGGGTGGTGCGGGAGGGGGGGGGGGGCCTCCCGCCCGCCCCCGCATCCCCTCCTAAGAACTCATGATGATGGGACACAAGTTGTTTTTGTTCTGCCTTTCTCTCTGCCGCAGAGAGAGAGAGTATTCCCCACAACAGCTGTTCTTAAATATTTTATTTCTCTTTTAAACCAAGAAGTGACACATTTCTCGCTCAACTTGGGACCTCGTCTTCAGACCTTCATCTTCCTCACCGCTCTCAGGCACGACCTGAGAAGCTCCTGAGAATAATTCACCTTTTATTTATCCAGGGAAGCTCCACAAGAGCTTGTCTGCTCCTTTTTCCAGCAGCCTCACATCCACCCACCTTCAGATCTGGGATCTGCCCAGTACAACCACAGTCTTCTACACCTGGGGCTTTACAGTAGGTGCCTTGCTCATGGACACCTCGGCGGTAGCCGTTGAGCAAAGGGAGACGGTTTGATTGAATCTCCCCCGTAACGACTTTAATCAAACACCTTTCCCGTCACAAGTCGGTTTTCACGTCTTGTGAGTTACCACCAGCCCCAAACAAGCCTTCATCAAACTAATGGACACTCAACGATGATATTGATTATAGATTGGTAAATGTGTAGTTTGATCATGTATGAGCTGTCAGTCACCAGAGCGTGCTTTCCTCACCGCTGTTAGGAATGGGTAAGACTTTTTTTTTTTTTTTTTTTTTTCCCACTTTAGACACAAAAACCCAAAAGCTCTGACGCCAGAGCGACTTCCACCCAGGAAGATTAACACTGAACAGATGTTTGGAAAATAATGGAAAAGAGGAAAAAAGTTTATCAAGAATTTAAAATACAGTGTTTTTGTGACACTAATTCCACCATGTTTTTCTGCCCTTGATTTTTTTTTTTTTTTTTTTTTCTTTACCTTAAATCACATTTGAATTCGCAGCCTGCAGAGGGAGGGAAGTTGACACACACTCACAGCTGAGACTTGCCTGCCATGTTAGCCATGTACTGTCAGCCACTGAGCAGTTCTGCTGGAGCAATTGGAGGTTCAGTGCCTTGCTCAAGGGCATTTCAGTAGTAGTTGTTGTTGTTGTTGTTGTTGTTGTTGTTGTTATTGTGGGACAGAAATGTGCTTTTCATTCTCTACCCTGACGGAGATTTAAGATTTTTATTTTTTGTTTTTCCGATCTGTCCAGGGATTGTAACCTGTGATCATCTGGTCACAAACTCTGAACCTTTAGGCTATAGCTGCCCTCATGATGCTCGCCTGGTGCTGTCTTGAACTATGCTACATCAAACACTAAAATAATTTAGTCTATACACAGATATTGTTGTGTTTTTTCAAGATATGCACAAGAAAAACTTTGTACTTTTTGAAACGTGGGGGTAAATGTTAACAGGGTTCCTACACTGAAAACCTGGGGACGTGTGAATACAAACAAAAACTTTTGACAGAAACAATGTTCAGGTGTTGAGGAAATAAAAAACACTCCTGTCCTGGTAAATGAGGGAGTTGTAGATCTAGTTAAATTTGATACTTGAATTTGTGAACATTTTTGGAAAGCATTATCTCCTGTCATCGAGCATTATTAGCCTAACTGACTACTTTTAATAAAGTTAAAAACAAACCAGAGAGTTTAAGCTCAGAAAATCGTGATGACGATGTGTATGAACCCAAACTCTGTGGCTTCTCACGTACGAGATCGTTCTGAGTGGTGGAGTAAAGACGAGCTGCACTGATTGCTCTTTTGTTGTTGCACTCGAGTTTCACGCTTGCAGAGAAAAACCAAGAGGGAACAATATAATAATATTTGTTCTGAGACTGTTCTTTACCCTTTCTGTTTTTAGGGAATATGTTGGGTGACTGGCTTTTTTTCTGTCCTTCACATGCATATGTGTTATGCAAGATTATTCAATTCAGATTTTGTTCTTTTTTTTTAATAAATAATGAAACTGAAAATAGTCTTTCTTTTTCCCTCTTCTTTTTTGTTGTTGCACAACGTTCAGATTCTCAGGTCTCTAATTTTTATTTAGTCTCAGCCTGTGCGGAAAGTGTTGACCACAACATGGCACTTAAAGTGGCAGTCTGTGAAATCATAGTTTGGTTTTCTGGCTGCGTCTTTGATGCCAAGTGGTGACTGTGCTTGTGTTTGTGCTTTTTTTTTTGCTCTTTATCAGCTGGAGTTAAACTGTCCATCAAAGTGTGCACGTGTCCAGTGTTGGGAGTCAGACACAGTTAACCCCCTGTTCACACACACACACAGAATATATATATATATATACAAAATAAGCTGATAGGTCTATGATGACGTGTGGTCAATCATCCAATCCACCCAGAGTGATCAATATCTCACAACAATCAAAAATTCAAGAAGTACACAATCGAAGGTCTACATATATATAATATTTACAAATGGAAGTCTTGTATTCAAATCTTAAGTCTCAGTTTGCAGGATCATTATTATAATAATGTATTTTCAATGATTATTACTGATGCATTAACATGTAGAAGCATTTAATGCTGCAGTTGGTTGAGGTGGAAACAGTTTAACTGCTTCATGTACTGTTGGGCAGTTTATAACGATTCATAATTTGTTGTTTGTAAAATAGTAATTTGCAAAGAAATTAGTAACTATAACTCTTAATACAGTCAGTGGAATAAGTGAAATAGAGACAAAGTGGCAGAATAAGGAATTACAAGTACAAATACCTCAAACTTGTACTTAATTAAAACACTTAAAAAAAAAAAAAAATACTTTCAAACTAAACTGTTCTTTCTTTTCAATTCCCCCCTTCTACACAGAGGTCATAGGTCAAGCCCAACGCCCCTGGACCTGCATGTTTAATCCTTTCACACAGTGACAAAATGCTGTTGTCTCTCATGCTTCATCTGCACTGATTTCCAGTGAACCGACCCTCCTGGGAATTGACGCAAAGCATCTCTGCAGACGGTGGGAACATTGTGGAAATTCCTCGGCATGCTGATGCACTGGCATCCCGCGCTCGCCGTCCCCCGATGCCAACTGGCTGACGGGCGCTGTTGGCACGCCGCCTGGAGCGCTGGATGCATTAGCTGTCACCATGAGGACTGTTTGGCCTGGCCGGCCGGGACAGTGGCACAGTATGGCAGTTTACCCAGAATGTTTAGCCTCATACTGTGACTTACCTAACAAGCCCTTGAGCGAGGCCTCATTCTGGCATGTGAATCCTGTGGCTCAGCTGCTGAACCACTACGGAGTTAATTCTATAAGGCCTCTCTCGCATCGATTCCAGACACCTGCTCTGCTCAGATTATGTTACACCATCCACATGAGACTTTCCCAGACGAGATTAACCCATAAGACTTTATTTTTCATGTGGATCTTCTGTTTCTCTTCTCTCCTTGCAGATGTTAAATTAGATGTCATGTTTCTCCCAAGGCCTTTAAGCTCATTTGCTGACAAGTGGATGACACTACAGAGTTCACTGAGGTAAGCTGCCAATCACTGTCATCCTCTGTGTAGAGTGGACTTAGGCAGGAGACATTGTGACTGTGTGTGTCACACCTATGTGCGTTGGAGGTTTCCCAGGATAGCTCCGCTAAGGGGATTACTGTGCAGGGAGGGATGTCTGCTCCATGTGAGACATGTAAGGAATTGAGGATTAGAATTAAGTAATCGCTTCAGACCAGCAACGGGCACGGACACTCAACGACACTCGGACAAAAAAAAAGAGCAAAAAAAAAAACCACTCTGTAAAAGTGAATAAAACATTTCAACGAAGATGTCTAAGGACAAGCTGGAGAGCCTGGTGAAGCGCATGGAGGACACGCTCTCAGAGATGGAGCAGCTGAAGCTTCACTGCGGGAAGCAGAGCGAGGAGCTGAGCCAGCTGGTGGTGGAGCTCCGGAGGGAGAACCAGGAGCTGGTGGAGAAGTACAACCAGCTCACTGTGGAGATGAAGGAAGCCAAGGAGATTATAGAACAACTACAGGACACAAAATATGCCTTTAATGCCAAGGAGAGGCAGGCCCAGAAGCTCAGCCGGCAGCTCTGAAGGAGGATGGATGTGAGCTGGACAAGGCGGATGGAAGAAAGCAGCTTGTTGCAGAAGATTTCTAAAGACTGGGTGGGCATGAAAAGCTAAACTGGGCACAGCTGTTTTCTTTAACGTATAGAAAGAGAGTTTTTTTCTGTCTCTGTTTGTGTACCTTTTAGGTCCGGAAGACGATGGGTGTAAAGTTTAGTAATTTGAATGTTAACTCAAATCCTGTGGCTTAGGGCTCCTTTTTAAAACCGTGGCTAGATTTAATGACCGGGAGTCAAAACTGGAGGTCTCCGAGAAAATGTGGATGTGGAAAATGTGGAGTCTGGTTGAAGGGGGGGGGGTTCAAAAGTGGGTGAAGATCATGCATAAGACATTGTGCTTATTAGGTTTCTATAATTAAAGAAAGATGCCTGGGAGAAAGGCTGCACTGCCCCTGTAAAAGATTTTATATGATGACGCGCACTGGATATTATTTTTTGTTGTGCAGTGACCAGAAGAAGTGGGTGGTCACCTATTTTTGGATTTTAAAGAGTCTAAAAATACCTGATTATCCCTTCCTGCCCTCGATCTGTCGACCTGCCTTCATCCACGCCGGGTCTCAGTCCATGGAAGAACAGAGAAGAGAGAAAATAGAAAGTGTGGCTAAATGTGTATTATACCACAATAAAGTATGGCTAATGTCCAGTATGTTGATTAAATTCTACATCAACAACAGATTTTTGAAACTGAAAATCACTCGTGTTGAACTCTTTAATTTAAGTTTGTGACTGAAGGTTTGGGATTTGATTTTTTTTTAGGATTTTATTGATCCTGAATCTGGTATTAAATGTGTTTATTGACTCTGAATCTATGTGGGATTATTTCCTTTTCAGCAAAGAGAACTAAATAATTAATAATCATAATTCAAAGAACTAAAACCTAAAGCAAAAGTTAAACATTTTATTTAAAAAAAGATTGATGCCACCATATGCTACAGCTAGCAGTTGATTAGCTTACCTTAGCGTAAAGACTGTAAACAACTATCTTAACTCTGCCCGAACAACCAGTAACCAGTAAGTCTCAAGCTCACTGACATGTCGTGCTGTATCTTCATTGTTTAAGCTGTACAAAAGCTGCAAGTCACACACACACACACACACACACACACACACACACACACACACACGGTGCTTGCACATTACTTGAGTGGAAAAATGACATTTCTGCTCCACTACATTTATCTGACAGCTGCAAGTTAGTTTGCATTATTAATACTTCTACTTTTGATTGGTTAATTTTACTAACAACATTTACAACTTTAATACTTTTACTTAAGTAACATTAATGCAGGACTTTTGTTTTTAACTGTTTATTAACCTTCATATTTTCTCTTCGCGTCAGCCGTACATGGTTTTTGTCCTCCCGGGTCGAAATTGCCCCGATCTTTTTGACTGTGTATAAAACATGAAGTATAAGATTATTACCCAATAACTGCATTACACCTTTTCAGTCAACTTCATTCCAACTCATGACTGCGACTTTTTATGGTCAACAAACGTCATTTACATTAAAATATACTTCATACGTGACAGAAAAAAACGGGTCAAATTTGACCCGAGGACAACAAGAAAGGATGTGAGTGCTTCCTCCAGCTCTGCCTCAGACTGGCGTCCTCGTTCTCTGTACAGACAATATCCTCGGGTAAATATTACACATGTGCTACAAACCATCTGGACTCTGCTGCACCAGCTGCTCGGGGATGTTGGATGGACATGATTTTTTCTATGAAGAGCTTGAGCTGGAACTGCAGGAGGTCACTCTAACTTTCTGTTTGATGGTCTACTGAACTTAAGTGGTGTTTCTACTGACATGAGACACAGTGAGGTTACGGTTCACCGTGAATCGCTATGATTTTAAATATTTAGGCTCAGACTCGTGAGTCATTCACTCTGGTCTAAACATGTGAAAAGCTCTCTCGGTGTGACCGGATAAACAAACATGTGGCTTTAGTGGGTTTCACCGGCTTATTTGGCGTGACAACAGTTTGTCTTTGGGTGATTCACATGTGAAGGTCTGGGGCCCACCGTGGTCCCCCGGCTGTTTCCACGCTCGCTCTCTCAATGAATCTTAGCCAAAAAACAAAAAGTACACACTACACCCAAGATGTATTTTTACTTGAAGCCACAGCTACATAACTGCAGGATTTCAGTAGTTGTGGGTGTTTCTTCGAGGCCATCGGGATGTTGTGAAAAACCTCACCCCCAGAGGAGAAGAGAGAAGAGGGGAGGGGTAGAAAATCTTTTCGGGAAACATCCACTGGCAGATGTTTAAACATAGCTTTGGTAGTGGTCGTGGTGGTTTCCTCTTTAAAGCCCAAAATTGTCACTTTTCTCTGTTGTTTTCATGCGATTTTAACATGTTCAGGATGAAATAGCAATTAAAATTCTACCAAGAGTCTTTTGCGTCAAAATTGAATTTAAGATCAGTCTTTTGAATTATTAACAAGACAAAAACTGAAGATCAACTTCAGGGACTGTTTTAGTTTGGTCTTTCTGTTTGGGGTCTCGGGGAGCCCAGCGGTAAGACGTGCTTAAAAACGATAGATTTTCTTATGCTTTGAGTTGTATGTGATTGTTGCTGACAGCAGCGTAACGTGACATTAGACCCCAGATATTCTGTATGTACAATAGCTTTAGCTTTAGATAGGTTTAGCTAATTTATAGTTAATGTTCATCTCACATATAAAACATAAAATATTTACTTATTTAGTGTAATAACAATTCTTCAAATCCTTGTGACTTTAGTGTGTTTGAGTTTGTTGATCTGCTCACTTTTCATTTAGCGCCACCATGAGAAAGAAATTTTTGTTTTTGTTGAAATATCTCAACAGCTATTGGATAGACTGCCGTGAAATTCGCCACGGACATTTATGGTCCCCAGATGATGAACCGTAAAAACTTTCATCTCTGACCTTTCCTCTTAAATTTTAGTTTGTCCGATACTTTGACCAAATACTTGAAAACTAAACTAAAACTATCTACATTCACACCAGCTTCATTTGTGTTTACCTCAGATCACTGCTAGCACGGCTGTGGAATCTTAATTTAAGTAGCATTTCCCAAAATTGTTCATCTTTTGCTGCCGTTTAAGATGTTTCTGTTTGTCCACAGTGTTTCACCTCATGATCATTTATTTAATACTGAGTATAATGTTTGTCTGTTCATGCACAGCCCATATAACACATTACTTGGTGCAGCAACAAAAGCCTACTTATTTCTGTATTTAATCAGCTGTGTAAGCGCAGTCCAACCATTGGTTTACCACCTCAATAATCTCCTCCTTTTTTGGGGGTTTTAATGGGGTCAGAAAAAATAAAACTGTCAACACAACACAAGCATCAACTCAACACATTGAGCCCCACTGAACATCCAGTCCAGAGAACTTCTCTTTTAACAAAGTAAGGTAACATTTAGGACCCATTTTCAGCTAAAAAATTATAACCCAGCCTCTCCATTGGACCCAAAACTTTCAAGGGACATGTCTGTGGATGATTACCCTGGTATTACATGGACGGTATGTCCAGTGGGGGAGCGTGATAATGGCGCGTTGGTTACAGCGCAGTGGGGATGAACTTTTTTCAAAACCTTCATCTAGCACGAGCTTATAGGGAGCTTACGACAAACGAGCACGCTGATTAACTGTTATATTTACAGCCTGAAATTACAGAGTCCGCGTCAAAGATCCTCAAGTCTGACAGGAGGGGCTGTGGCTCAGCGGCACGGGCTCTGGTTAAAAAGCGCGGCGATGACGCAGCGGAGGAGGTTCAACCAGCAGGACTTTCTCTTCTTCCTGTTGGAGAGAGAGAGAGAGAGAGAGAGAGAGAGAGAGAGAGAGAGGGGACCAGGCAGAAAAACCCTCCTCTTATACCCAGGACACTGCACTTCTGTTCAGACGCATCTTCAGGTCAAAGCTCCGGAGAGGAACCAGCTGTCACTTCTGCACGATCCTCCGCAAGGATCCGACCCAGCAGCGGTTTGGGACTCCCAGGAAACCGCATTTGAAACCAGTGAACAGGGTGAGGACACTTCTGATTCCACCTCAGTGATAATGGAGGTTTCTTCTTATGTCAGATTTTCTTTTAATGGACAGATATTTGAAAGAAATTTCCTGTTTTTTTGTTGTTGTTTTTTACTTTGGAAGAAGTGGCTGCTCAGCGAACGGATTTATCCATTAGAGGAGATTAAACAATAAGTTTTTAGTCTGAGAGAAAAGTTAATGAGGAAGATCGTTTATAGATGAATAGAATCATTGTTTACATTTTCATTTATTTTAGGAGAAATAACTGAAGTAATTGTGTAAAGAAACGGAGACAGGCCACAGAGGACATGAAAGGGACTCAGCAGGAGATCAAATACATCTCTACGTTTAATAACGTTACAATGAATATAATGAGGAGCTCACAGAGAAACATTAGAGGAAAAAAAAGAAAGAATTAAGTCCATTTATTTTCGAATCTGTATAAATATACCATAAATCCCTTGATGACTTTCCTGACTGACCATAGCTGGTAGCAGACTTGCCTCTCACTCAGTACTCAGGACACAAGACACTGCTTGCCCTCACTGACTGATGAATAATTGTTAATTTGGTTGGATAAAAGCTTGTACAGCCCGAGGCCAAAGGCTTCATGAGCTGGAGCAATAAAAAGTGAGTGATGCAGAAATCTCACTAAACAGATCAGTGGTTAGTTACGTTCAAGATCAGGAATATCTTTTGATGTGAGGAGACTGGAGAAGCTTTTCTGTCTCAGATTGCTGGAAAGATTTATGAGTTAATGTTTCGTTTTGTAACTGAATTTTCATTTAAAGTCATTTATCAAACAAATTAGTTGTTTTATCGTGACATATGTGTGTTTATTCATTATTTTTAGAGAACTTGATTTGAAGAATTTCATTCAGAAACACTGTGTCTGAACTAAATAATGGTTTAATGTTTATTAGGCACCTGCAGAAATAATCGTTTGGTTTATGGACATAAAGTGAGAGGAACAATCTTTATATTCTATTTATCATTTAAAGTCGTTTATCAAGCAGAAATGCCAAACATTCATTGGTTTCAGCTTCTCAAAGATGAGGTGTCGCTGCTTTTCTCTGCTTCATATGATTGTAAATTTAATAACTTTAGGTTTTGATCTTTAATATTAACATGTCACCTTGTATTGTTTCACTCATTTCTGATATTTTATACACTAAACGATTAATAGATTAATTAAAGAGAAAACAGCCAGCAGTTTATTTGGTAATGAAAATAATCATCGGGGCAGCTCCAGCGATCAGGTGGGGGACTCCTTACTTCACCTGTACGTAGTTACTGAGATGTAAATGATTGCTGTTGGCCCAGACATAAGAGAGTAGACCCGGATTACAACCTCCACCCAGGGGCGACGACACGGTGAAGTTGCTCAACATGGGGCTTTTGTAAGTGTTTGAGGGAGATGGATCAGACATGCTGCCTGTCGTCTCTCCTCTCTGACACAACCATACGTCTGTTAGCTGCGCAGGGTAACTTTCCTCACAGTGGGGGCATTTGGTGGCCGTGGCTAACAGGTCAGAGGTGGGTTGGCAGCTCCAGCCAACCTCCCCCCTTCAGGAAAACCCCCCATTTGCCCTGGAAAAAAAAACAAACAAACAGCTTCTCCACATGCAACAAAAGATCCATGTTTAGGTCAGTTAAGCAATGAAGTGATGAGACAGAAGTTTTCAGGTTTTAGATTGATTTACTGCTGCAACCAACATTTATTTTCATTGTTGATTCATCTGTTTATTATTTCTGCTATTAATAAATGTATTGTTTGGTCTAAAAATGACAGAAAATAGTGAAAAACGTTCATCACTATGTCCCTGAGTCCAAGGTGACATCTTCAAATGTCTTGTTTTGTCACAACAAATATGAAAGATGTATAAATATTTGAGACACTGGAACCAGTAACTTTTTAATTACTCATTAATTAATTCATTGATGAATCAGCTGATTACTTGCTCCTCTGTTGATTGAAAGAAATCTGCAAAACTTATATTTCCTCTTCTGAAACCGCTACATTTACTCAGCCCCTGTGTGGTGATCATATTAACCAATGCTGCGGTTGACATCTTCGACACACAAGGTTTTCATCTGACACAGACTTCACTAACTAGACCCACAGAGGCAGATCCAGCTGCTGATCATCTGCTGTGGTTGGTGGCTTTAAACCAAACCACAGAACAAGCTGTTGCATCAGTTATCGTACGTTCAGTTTGCTAATCGGTGCCGAAGATCTACAATAAATCATTATTACACACTGATTTATATGCTTGGAAATGATTTAGGAAATGCTGCAGGGCAACAACAGCAACAACACACAGATGTTTAAAGTCTCTCTGCCAAAACTGAAGCTGATGCTTTTTTGTTGTTCTTTTGTTTTGGTCAGGGACCTCTTGTATTCTCTTTCTACCCCTATAGATCTTTTTTGTATATGTTGGCATGTGTCTCACATCAATTACGGTTTCCACTCTTGTTGCCCCGGCTTGTTTCGGGAAAAGTTGCTCAATGTGTAATAGCCTCCATTAGTCACAGTGACTAACTCTAAATGTCTTTTCTTTTTTTTCTTCCAGGAAACAATGAAGATGCTCCTGCCTCTGGTAATCCTTCAGCTGCTCTTGGCTCCAGCACTCACGGTAAACTCCCAATGGATCCACAGAAAATTAATATACACTAATAAAAAATAATGAAAGTTGTGTGCAAAGTCCCCATCCACCAAAAGCTCACACATCTATCTCTTTTTAGGATTACATTTTCTAAATTGTATCTAAATTTCTTTGCTCTCTTTTAAATGCGTGCAGTTTGTAGAGTATTCAAAATTTCTATAAATTAGATTTTAAACAATAACATAGCAGCAAACAGCTATTTTCTATGTAAAAATATAGTGGAGTAATGGCATCCTGAGCAGAGAACGAAGCCACGCCCCCTCTGTTTGTGCTGTAATCTGAGCTTCTTAGTTCTTTGTTTTGGTATGGTCTGGCAGCCATGCACGTTAAGTGTTATTGCACTTAAAAAATGTGTTAGTGCATGTGAAGCCCTCTTGTTAAACCCTGAGCCCTCCCCACCTTTATAAACACACAAGCTCCGCCCACACGTGTAATATGGTACAGTCAGGTGAAATACCTCCCTCTGAAAAAAAAAACATGTTTTCATCTAAAAAAAAAAAAAAAACTCCAACAAATAAGAGATAAGACCTCAAATCCCGGTCAGTGGACCATCAAAAACATCCATATTTAATTTTTAGCAGCTCCTTCTGTGTGTTTACCGGCTCCGTCAGTGTCATTCATGCCTATGACCGTGGAGCTAATGCTAGTTTGGCTTTACCGAGATGGAGAGCTGCTAACCGGCTCCAGCTTGACTCAGAACTGGCTTTTCTTCTCCTCCATGTGTAAGTAACTCGGCGACAACATAACGTTAAGTGTCTATGTTCATTAGTGACCAGCTACATGAGGCATAATAACATTAGCTAACTTGCTTTTACCGATATTATGAATGTGTTCGGCAAATGTTGCTATGGCTAGCTAGCTAACTGCCGGTGTTGTGCTGCTGAGCGTATCACGGCCATGCTAACGTGGGCTAACGGTTGTGTTTTTTGTTGGTTCAGTTGTGCTTCTTGTTGTGTGTTTAGTGGCCGCTTTCACTGCGCTTTGTAACTGTCTGAGAACGGGGGGGGGTGATCAAACGGAGACCGGAAGTGTCTGAGATGCTGGTTAAACTATTATCTTTATTGATTAATGTTTGAGTCATTTTTTTTAAGCATAAATGCAGCAAAAAAATGATGGTTACAGTTTGTAAAATATGAGGATTTCCAGATGAAACAATGACGTCATCCTCACTGTCATTGTTTTTTCTGGTGTTTTATTGACAGTAATGATTAATTGAGAAATTGATAAGCAGAATAATCAATTATAACTTAGTCCTAAAAAATAAATAACCATTTCTCGTAGCCCCTGTGTAATGCCTACATTACATATAGTGTAACAACATAATAACAAGTGTTGCTGCAGTAGTTTTATATTTAACAGATTTGGGGTTAAAGAAATGTTTCATGATTTTCAAAAGATAAGAAAACAATTAAAAACTCACTAATTTCATAAAAGGGCATTCGCTAAATATCGCTGTGATGTTTCAGATAGGCAAAGTCGAGGTTTAAAGTTCATTCTTGATCTTGGAAACCGCTGTTTACTTAACCCGTAAACAGTGTTTGATTTGGTCTGAAAGCAAAGAACACAACTCTATAAAACAGATTAATGTTGACTTTTCCATTGTGATGCGGTGTATAAACTGCTGTTGTGTGTGTGTGTGTGTGTGTGTGTGTGTGCAGGTGCCCAGCGGGGATTACTGGGAATCGTGGGGTCCTTATGGAGAATGCAGTCGCAGCTGTGGCAGCGGTGTGACCATAAGAACCAGACGCTGTATCACTCACAGGTAATTTATCAATTTTTCATCTACACATCGGCGTAGGTGTATAAACACACACACACACACACACTGCACATGAACTCACAGCCACAGTCTTTCTTTTACAAACCCGGCTCATTGTAAGGATCATGAATACACACACACACACACTGTTTTTTTTTCCCCTGTGTGAATAAAGCTAATTGTGAGGTTCATGGGCACAGACTGTATCTTGATTGTAAAAGAATGCCTTGAAGTCACAAGGACGTGGGCTTGTCTTACATCCAAAGCAGACTGCAGGGAGGGGCCCTTTGACATTAAAAGGACTTCTCTTTAATGGGTGTTGCCTGTTGGCTGCTGAAGAACTTCAGATGGGGAGTGAACGTTTCTTTCTGCCCTTTTTTTTTTTTGGCTTTTGAAAAGACCTTAGAAGTGGTTTAAGAAATATCTACATCAGTTCATCTTTTCTCTTTGCTGCAGATGTGTTTTGGTTTTTTCCAAGTATAATTTTGTCAGATATGGTTCATCTCTCCCCTAGCATCTGACTGCATAGGACAGAGTGAGCAGTCATAGTCATGCTTACTGTTGCATTGTAAATGTTCATAGCTGTTATTGCTGGAATCCAGCTGACATGTTGCCTCATGTAACACATAAAGAGATCTGTATTAATGAGGTGAGAAGTGGTGCGTCTGATTTTGGTTTCCATGAAGTATTCAGATCCAGATCCAAAGGTTAAAGTATCAATTTATTGATGTAAAAAAAAAACCTTTTTTAGTACTAACCAAATTGTACTTTATGTGTCAAAACTAAAAGTACTAAAAAAAAGTTCTAAAATGGCCCCTGTGAATATATATTGTTATAATTTACATTATTTGATTGTTAATCCTGATGCATTAGTGCATAGGCAACATTTTATTGTTGTAGCTGCTTGAAATGGAGCTGTAGTTTTATGTGCAGTTCAGCAATCGGGTTCAAGGCCTCTCCAGTGGGTCACAAGCTCTGCTATACAGATCTGTATTCATTTTCTGGTCTTTTCTCTGGTCTTTTATTGTGAAATGTTGGATAATTTAACTTCCATGGGCCTGGAACAGTTTTTGAAATTTTTTTTAATGTAAAAGCTGATTCTGTAAAGTTGCTATAGCTTGCAGATAAATATACTCAAGTGAGTAGCACAATATTTCTCTTAAGGTACAAAAAGTACCTCAAAAGTGTAGTTAAGGAATGTCATATAAATGTCACAGCTGCTGTGATTTCTTCCTAAACTTCTAAACTAATTCATCATTAAGTCATCTGTCATTCATCATCTGCATGTGCTGTGTTTGCAGTCCGTCTTGCCATAAAATGTTCAGCAGAATGTAGGTGTGCCTCAGTAATTGGGCAATAACTCAGAGGGAGTTTGATTAAAAAAAGGGCACCTTTTTTTTTTGCCCACCAGACAGAACATGTCTTTAATAACATTTCCCTGACATGTCCAAACTGTTGTCTGAGTCACCTTGTTTGATATTTCGATGCATTTATGTGACGGCAAACTGTTGGAAACTGTAGTTTTTCCACATAAAACATTGTTATAAGAGAAACAGTCTGTGCAGAATAAAGAAAGCCCCTACAGATCTATACTTTATAGGACGCTTGATGTTTTCCACGGCTCCTGTTACCAATGCTGTATTAGATACTGGCTTTCAACATGTCCATGCAGCCAGTCGGTGAGTCAGACAGTCTGTAAGTGAGTCTGTTTCCCCTTCTTTAGCTGAACGATGAATAATAGGTGAAAAAGTCCTGCTCACTGCTACCTAATTGGATGAACTCTGTCATATCTTGTCTGCCAGGTTTCCCTGAATTACACCTTTTAACTACTATGATCTAAGAGGCTGAATCACTGTGTGCTTTACAGGAACTCCCATTTCACCATATATTCACTTCAGAATAAAAATGACCTGCTCTTCATCCAGAGGACTCGTACTTTAAAACGTTGCAAGTGGTTGTTATTAAATTAATGTTGTCCTTTGGTCTCTTTGTCTGTAAATTTGCAGAAATATCTGTCACTTTTTTCCCTCCTCCTTGTTATGTAATATTCTAAACTTAAAGTACAGTCCATCGCCAGGTGAAAAGTTGAGGGCTGCATATTGTGGACGACTGTTTCGACACGTTTTCGTTTCAGTTTTGGCGTCCTGACAGGAGCGTGTCTTGTTTTTAGGCTTAAGGGCAGGTACTTTTGGAGGTGACTTAATCATGAGTTATCAGCATGGCTGGAAGGGAGGGTGGCAAAACAATCTGCTGTTTCAAGGTTCACTGCTGTGCAAATGTGCGGATGTTTGTGCAGAGTTTGGGTTGAACAGTGTTGATGTTGAGGCTTCTGCTGTGCTGAGAAGTCAGTTTTTTTATAGGCGCAGATTAAAGAGGAATGCCACTTAATGTCAGAGCTGAAACGGGTTATTTCTGCGCTCCCAGACAGGTTGTATTTGCATATGTGCACTGCAGTCTCACCTAGTCATTAACTGCTTCTGTGTCACAGTGATGACACGTAAAGTTTTAATGCAACTTCAGTCAGAAAATATTCAAGCTGTTTTTTTTTTACAGCACCCAAGGTGATGAAAATATATATTTGTGGCCTAAAGCGGCTCCGCTGACACATGAAGCTCACAAAGCCACACAGAGTCCTTCCCAAATACGTCATCTACGGCTCATTTTCTTTCTTTATTTTCCGCTGGTTGTAAGAAGATAAGATCTGAAAAATCTGCGTCACGTTTAACTTGTGAAAACATCAGCCAATAGTCTCTGATGTTTACGCTCCTTTTTCTACACGCAGGACGGATGGAGGACACAACTGTGTTGGACCAGAGAAGTCGTACCGCTCCTGCAACATCCAGGTGAGAAAACAAAGCTCAACTTCTTCTTCTTTGACATGTTTAAATGTAAAACTCCACGACATCTTAGAATCAGTGTACGGCCGAAAAACATCAAAGGAAATTAAAGCATCGTCTGTAAATATTGTACATCCTCCCTAATTAAAATAATTTTTGACTCAATCTCTTTACATGTTTTAATTTTTATGCCTGTTGATTGACCTTTGACCTCTCTGCCGCCTCTTCCCCTCAGGACTGTCCAGAGGGATCCAAGGATTTCCGTGAGGAGCAGTGCTCCCAGTTTGACGGGACTGACTTCCAGGGGAAACGCTACAAGTGGCTCCCGTATTATGGAGGTCGGTACTTTATGAGACGGGCGACACAAACCAGCCGAGAGACGAACACTTCCACACATAAATACATGTGAAATGGTTTTTATTTATCGAAGGAACTTACCTTCATCCTAAAACGAGTCTCACCCCTCCCTCCGACAGGTGAGAACCCGTGTGAGCTGAACTGCATCCCGAGAGGAGAAAACTTTTTCTATCGTCACCGCAGCTCTGTGGTCGACGGCACACCCTGTCACCCAGGACGGAGGGATGTTTGTGTGGAAGGAGTCTGCAAGGTAAGCCGCGCAGAAAACGAAAACACACATATAATAAGAAGAAGAAGAAGAAGAAGGGGAAAAAAATCAGGGAAGCAAAGAGGAGGTTTCACCACCGGTAGCTGAGCCTTAATGGGCAAAATGTATTATCTTCAAATGTGGTTATAATAACTTCCTGCAGTCTCCACTCGTTTCTTGCCAACTTCTTAGAGCCAAGAAATAGTTCTGCAAATAAGCCCCCTTTTGGTTTTTGTAACGGATTAAACAAATGAGACATGACCTTAATTAGTTAGCTTTAGAGAGGCTGTTTGTGGTTTCGATACGGCAAAAATACCCACAAAGCCGGGCTGGACAGAAATGAGAGCGGTATCGACCTTCTCATCTAACTCTGGAAGAAAATCTCCCAAAATGTGAAACGGTTCCTCTGAAGGGGGAAGGAGTAAAAAAAAAGAAATGCCTCAGCTCAAAATATCACTGTACCTGAGTTTAACCAGAACCAGAACTCTTCTGCATAGAGTTTCCCACATATACATTATAGGTGCAGTTCAGAACCGCCAACTTTACATCTCATTAGTCTCAACATATCTTTTCCTGACTTCTCCTCAACATTTTTAAAAGCAGATTTATCCTCTAATAACTCCACTAACCCACGATCGATGATTTAATAAACTGAATTAACTCATATTTAAAGGTTTCTCACTCACGCTTCTGTGCTGTGTTTATCGTTATCAATCATCTTTAATTATTAGGCGCATGTCACAAAAAACTGTTCCTCCCTCTGCCGCACAAGTGGCCGCTGGTATGAAACTGTATGTGCTTCTATAGTTAATAAACGCTGAGGAGAGGTGAACCAATCCATGTTGAACCAGCACAGTGTACACGTGCGGACTGTATTTATCCGTCTGTTCACATTAATTTAAGTAAATGGAAGTCGCAGGAATAAAATGTCTCGGAGGGTGAGTTCACATCCACACACACACACACACACACACACACAAACTCCTGGTTCACAGCGTCGCCTCGTTAATCAGAGTGGACACGGTCAGAGGAGCCGAGCCGCGGGGTAAAAGATTAGTTTCACTCTGTGCTAAAGTCAAACACGTCTCCTGTTCTCATTCTGTTCTTATGTAATTATTTCAGCAACCTATTAACCTCTTCCTCACGAAACACCTCATCTATTTAACCTCTGACCTCCTGTCTTCAACACCTCCGCCGTCCGAAATCCACCCTCCTCTCAAGACTTATTTCTGAACGTTATTGTTCATTTATTTTTAAAAATGTACATAAAACCTTCAGCTCCAGATTTTTGTTGCCTGTATTTTAGGATTCGTACTTTCACTGACACGCTGTGTTCCCAAACACGTTTTATTCTTATCTAGTTTAAATCTGGTCTCGCGTTAGTTTTGGCCCTTGACTCTGCAATTCAGTGTTTTTACTGTTGCATTTTGCAGGGTTCATTTAGTAAAGTGGACTCGACGTCCGCTGGACCATTTTTTATATGCAACTTTTATTTTGGTGTGGATAATCTTTGCCTTGCCACCTTTTTTTTCTTTCTTCTTACTAAATTAAAAGTTTCTCTCTCACAGGAATAACATGCCATGGTGCTTAAACTTTATTAGACTGAACAGACAGGATTTGATGGCTAACATTTTGCACTTGCAGTTCATTTATACAATGAATTTGACAGTTTTCATTTTCACCGTTAGGAAGGACAGCTAAACAGCCTTTAGGTCAGGACAGTAAAAATCAGATTCTATCGTCTTTGACTCTAATGAAAGATTAATTAAACACTTGAAGCCGTGACACAGCTGTGAGACCGAGTCTTGTTTTCCCTCTCCAGCGTCTGGGCTGTGACAACATGCTGGAGTCTCCTCAGCAGGAGGACCCCTGCCTGCAGTGTGGGGGTAACGGACAGTCCTGCCACCGCGTCCACAACAGCTTCTCCGTACGCAGCCTGCCGACCGGTACGACGCACACAACCAGATGCTTTCAATCATCAAATGTGTCACCGCAGTCAAACTCCCCGATCACGGAGGAACCAGAAAGTTCATCTTCTAAAACTTGTTGTCAGTTCTTCTGTATGAGTTTGTATTTTATATGTGTGAGAGTTGAGAGTTATGTCTCACTTTCATCTCAGGCTACAACCAGATGTTCATCATCCCCGTTGGAGCCACAACCATCAGGATCAGGGAAACAGTGGCAACACGCAACTACCTTGGTAAAAGTTTCTGACGTTTTAAGGAAATAAATAATCAGAAAAAAACAGTACTTCAAAGTATGTACAAGAACTGACAGAAGTTAAACTGTTTAACTATTACCAGCTATTAAGAACCTGCGTGGTGAGTACTACCTCAATGGCCACTGGGTAATTGAGTTTTCCAGGGCGACACCCATCGCCGGCACCATGCTGTACTACCAGCGAGGAGCTGAGGGCGACAACGTCCCTGAAACCATCATCGGCCGCGGCCCCACCACTGAACCGCTGGTTGTGGAGGTAAGATCACAGTCAGGAGACATGAGGTTGTTGTTGTTGTTGTTGTTGTTGTTCATTGCAGCAAACAATATAAAATACTGGACACTTTCAGTCCAGCTTTTCATTAAATATGGTTTTTAGCCATTAGTCACTTTATTTTATTCACTTGCTTTATTGTAATTATGTTATAAATTGTATTTTATTGTATTTTATCTGTTATTTTATTATAAATCTTTTGATTGCTAATGTTATTCTAGCATTTTAAATCTTATTTTATTGCATCTCATTGTCAGTTTTCTCAATTGATTTTCTTTATATCTCATCAGCCTGTGAAGCTCTGCACTAACCTGTATGAAAAGTGCTGTACAAATAAAGTTTGACTGATTGACTTTCAATGACACCAAAACATTAGGATTCAACCTGAAGGGACCATGAAGGAATCAGAACAACAGAATGATCATGAACCCGTGAACGTGGCTAACTGATCAGCCAATCGATCGTTAATCTTTATCTACAACCGTCTTCCCCTCAGCTGATCAGCCAGGAGCCAAACCAGGGGGTGGAGTATGAGTATTACCTTCCTAACGGACGCTCCAGGGATGGCTACTACTGGAGTTTTGGATCGTGGTCCGCCTGCAGCAGAGAGTGTGGATCAGGTTAGAGTCTCGCACAGCGTCGTCACAGAGCCGCCACCTGAAGTCCTGACAGTGAGACGACTCAGTTCTCCACCTTCTCTCTCTCTCTCTCTCTCTCTTCGTTAGTCTCGCTTGGTCTTCTGCACCATCGATAACGAGGCCTATCCTGACTACCTCTGTGCGTCTCTGCCAAGGCCACAGACCAACCGTACATGCAACCCACACACATGCCCACAGACCCGCAGGTAAATGATTATTTGTCATAACTCCACTGATAAAAAAAATGTGTAATTTTAGAAGATTTCTGCAGCACCCAGAGTCCGTTTTTCTCCCACTGTAAGTGAACAGACAGAAGATGAGCTCTTGTGCCAACAGTCACTTTCCGAGCGGTGTTCTGACTGTTGTTGGTGTGTTGTGACTGTCTGAAAGGATGGCCTACCTGTATCCACCACAGTTGTGGACGTCCTCAGAAAGACCCAGAGCGTATGCGTTCAGGTAACCCAGGGTCTGTAGTCGTAGTGCTAGTTTTAGGTTTTAGGTTAGTTTTCACTGATCACTGCTGATTTCCTGAGCATGCACAGAAGTGTTTCGTAGGTCTCTTCGTAGGATTAGACGCTCCCTCCAGGATTTCGTTGGCTTTTTGTTGGGGGGATTGTTGCAGCTAAAATACCTGATGTGGCTTTTCTTACAAATTGCAATGAATGTTACAACGTTTTTAGATGTTTTTATTTTTGCAATGAAACTGCAGGAGAAAATAAAAACTGCAAAAATTGTCGCTATGTTTTTCTTTTTTTGTGTGTAATTCATTAAAAATCAAAGGCAACTTGTAACAGTGAGAATAAATCCAGGTGAGTGCAGGTGATGAACCAGTCTTCACTAATCTTATAGGGAAAAAGAAGAAGCGATTCTGCTCCTCTGTCTTTATAATAACCTCATGGATTTATGGATTTATGAATTAATAACTTAGAGCTTACGTTATGTGATGTATGTCTGGAAATGTTTCATCTGCAGAATTCACGGGGGTCGGTTGAATTTGCATTAATTATTGCGACGGCGACTTTCTGGAGGGACTGATTAGAATCCATCCTGTCCTTCACACTGCAGCTGGAAAACAAAATATCTTTAGATGCTTGCCTCTAAAAAGTGCTTGAATAGATGAAAACAAGTCAGAAGTGTGATAATGTTGATCCCCCCCCCCCCTTCAGATGTGTTTGACTCCAGCGTCTGTGTTTAGCTCAAAGCCCGTTCCTCCATGTGGGGTGAGAACGAAGGCGTGGGGCAACTGTCAAGCTCAGAGATCTCCTTTCAACTTTTCAATGATGCTCATTTGTCTTAGACACGCTGAACGTCCCTCCCCAGGGAGAACGAACAGCGATTTGACGCCATATTTCCCCCAAAGACCTGCGGCCGCTGTCCCTCATCCCTGAGCTGGGCTGCTGCCTGACTGCTTTAGCAAACTGTCCGTTCATGTAGCGATGTGCTGTGAGGTGTTCGTAGGTGAAAGGTCATGGTGCGGGGGGTGCCGGGGGATTGTTGTACATATGAATGGGACACAGCGGCAGTGGTGTGGTGGTAAATAGCCGGGGCTTCACTCAGTGACTCCCTGGTATTTCCTGCTTCTCGTCTTTGATGCTGCTGCTGCTCAGAAACCTGAGATGTTTATGAAGCTCGGGTGACGAGAACTGAAGAGCAGAGACGCTGCACGTTCACTTTTTCTGTGTTGTATGTGTGAGCTTGTTTTTTTTTTTGTCTTAGCAACGCTTCACAGTAATTACTGCTTCTAGTAATTAGTGAAACTAACCAGGGAATGAAAAATACTCTGTGTCTTTCAGCCGGGAGCAACCGGTGGCTGGTGGTTTTCTTAACACTTCAGTTTCCAAAAGGATGTGTTGCTTTTAACAGAATCATGAGTTCAGGGTTTTTTTTAGTAGCTGAAGATCAGTTTGGTTAAAACGACGCATCCTTTTAGAAGCTTCTGCATTTGAAGGGTTTCATTCCAAAACACTTGAACTCCGAGTAGTCAGCAAAAAAAAAAACATTTGAAGACAAAATTAAATTACTGCTGAAATGATCCCAAAAATAATTCACTGGCTCCAGCTTCTCAAATGTGAAGATTTTCTGCTTTTTCTCTCTTTTATATTATTGTAAATTAAAGATCTTTGAGTTTTTAAAAATGTTTTTGGACAAAACAAGCGACTCGGAGACGTCGCCTCGGGCTCTGGGAAATTGTGATAATTGCATTTTTCACTATTACTTGATGCAGTACGGATGAAACGATTGATGCATTGAGCAATGATGAAAATAATCTTCAGTTGCAGCTTTATATTCTGCGCCAGCCAAGAGTTTCTATGTAAATGACGCTGAGTGAAGTTTCAACAAAGATCTCATTGAGACGCTGCAGATTCTCCTGAATCTTCTGAAGGAAATAATTTTTTATTTTGTGTTGATTGCTCAGAAATATTTACCCGTCAGTCGTCTCTCTCATCAGATGGAAACTGATTTTTCTGATTTTGGAATGAAACTCCTTCCAGCATCTCTTCACCACCTCAGTCCTGACCTCTGTCTCCCGTCTTTCTCCTCCCCTCCCGGTGGTTCTCCCAGCTGGAGAACCGGCGAGTGGAACGCCTGCTCGGTCACCTGTGGTGGAGGCTCCCAGGTTCGCAGCGTGCAGTGCGTCTCCCAGGATGCCTCGGGGCCCCGCGTGGTGGATGATGCCATTTGCGCCGCCTACACCGAGGCACCTCCTTCGATGCAGACCTGCAACATGCAGAAGTGTGTCGAGTATCAAGTGACCAGATGGAGTGCGGTGAGTGAACCACGGAGAGGTGAAATACACCAGCTGTGTAATAATAATGACTTTATTCGTAAAGAACCTTTTAAAAACAGGTTACAAAGTGCTTTGACAAACAAATGAAAAGCAATGAAAGTCAAAACACAATTAAAGCAGTAAAAAGATATGGAGATGAGAAAAAGATAAAAAGATGACATCACATCAAAAGCAAGTCTATAAAAATGAGTTTTAAGAAGTGATTTAAAAGAAGTTACTGACTCTAGTCGAGGGGCCGTGATGGAAATGTGGTCTTCACTGAAAATGCAAAATAATTAAAGATACGATTAATAGAGAAACATGAGCCTGATAATAAAGGAGTCACTCGAGATGATCAGTGAGATGAGAAAAGATGGGAGAGATCTTTGGGAACAGATCAAAAAGCATCTTCACTGAGCAGCAAAGTGAATGATCCTGGAAGTTTTTAGAAGTGAAACGTTAAACTTCCCTTCACTGTAAAACCGATAATTACATGAGAAGCCGAACTGAGGCTAGAAAAGTCCCATGAGCCTAAAGAACAACGCTAGATACAACATGGGGACATATTTAAACTGAATTACAGACACTGCACAAACACAAGCTGCATGTTTACGCACTTTTTTACATAAACTGTGGTTTTAAATTCAGAAAATAACATTTTGAAATTACAGACAAAAGCACTGGTATCTTCACACCTGTTATTTTCTCATGCATACCTTCATGCTTTAAGTTTACTGTAGAATAAAAGAAGGTGTGAAAGGAGCAGCGATATTTAAAGCAGAAGATTTATCTGAGGAGATGAGGGAGATTGGCCACGTCTGTACGTCACATGATATAACTTCAAGGCCTCGACACTCGGAGCGGAGGTGTAATAAAGTCTGTGCTGCTGTGTGCGCAGTGCTCTGTGACCTGCGGTTCAGGCGAACAGACCAGGGACGTGACCTGCGTGGGTTCAGGCGGGATGAGGCTGGAGGAAACATCCTGCAGCGCTTTGCTCCGCCCACTCGCCGTCCGACCCTGTGAGATGGCCGCCTGCCCGAGACAGATCAGCTGGCAGGTTGGGGAGTGGGGACTGGTGAGTTGGACGGAGAACACAAAAAACAATACAGAGCCGCTACTGTGGCTGGACGGGAAATATTATGTCATCGTTTCTCTTCACTCATTTTCTCACATCGTGTTTTTGAGTTGAACATTTTTTCCGCTGGTTATAATTTCGCTCCCTTTCGCTCCAGTGCTCTACGAGCTGTGGCTCCGGCTCCAGAGAGCGCCAGGTGATCTGCTCCGACCCGGAGAGGAACCTGTACCCTGTGGACCAGTGCGGCGCCCGCCCCAAACCCTCCACTGTGGAGCGCTGCAACACTCAGCCCTGCTACAGCCCACAGGGTGAGTATCAGAGAAACTGTCTCCTAAATCTGCCGTATGTGCTGTCACGCTCTTTTACTCTTTAAACCTCTTTAAACCACTAAATATTCATTTTAACCGCTATTAACACCCATGCAGCTGCGTGTACACAAACGTTTTCTGTTTGTAAATGTTTCAGTATTAAAGATTGCAAATAAAAGAATAAGTGAATGTTGATAAGAGCCAGGTAGTTAGCAGCTACTGAACAGACAAAGAAAAGAGTTTTAACCTTAAAAGATAATCTACACTATAAACTTGAGCTCTCATTGGTTTGTGTTTGTTCTGTGTGTAGTTGTCCCGAGCGTCCAGGACCCACGAGGACACGACAGCTCTCAGACCGGCTTCCAGCCCCAAGCTCCGGATCGCACAGCAGGTCAGTCTCCGTCGCCCTGGAGCCAGTGTCACTTATTTATCTGCGAATCTAAGGATGCGTTCACAGCCGACATGTTTTGAGTGTAAGGTGATGGATGTAAACCAGGTCCATCTGTCCAGGGTGAACCCCACGGTGTCAGAATGATAAGAGCTGTGATGGAGGTGTGATAGAAAAAACCAACCTCAGGAAGTCGAGAATAATTCAATTAACTCATGTTGAGGCATCTGTGTTTACTGTGTGTCAACAAAGAGGTTGTGTAATGCTTAAAAATAACAGTAAAAAATAATGATGACATTGAATTCATTGTTAGTTTGATGATCCTACATGGTAAATGTCATATATATAAATGTAGAGTAACAACAATCAACTTTGACCTTATTGATAAAAACTTTATAATGAACTTTAAAGAGGAATAATCTGAAAAGCTTATACCTTGTTATTTTCATTATATTCATTTTTATTTATTGAATATTTTCTAATAAAGGTTGGCGAGAAAAAAAGCTTAAAATCACATTTCATTAAATACCTGAAACTTTGTCTATTTTTTCTTTTATTTTAAAAATAACTTTTAGTTTTCTCCACAAGAAAACAAAATGTATGTGTCTACCCACCAGCCCCCCCCCCTCTGCTAATATAACACCTGTCACTTTGTCCCCATCAGCACCCCGTCCTCCATGCCCCCACCACCGTCCCCGTCCACCCCCTGTCCCAGCACTAATTATCCGGGCCTGATTGACATGTTTTCAGGGGTCCGTGGGCATTTGTCGGCCTGATTAAAATATTTCCGAGGCACTGAAGTGTGTTAGTTCTGGCTGCGGTGTCTCTGGCATGTTCTGGCATTTTTTGGGAGCTGTGTGCTGTCCCAGTGATCAGGAATCTCAAGTCTGAGGGTCTTGTGCAGTGTTCCCCCTCCTGTGTGATTATTTATTCTTGTTCCTGCTTCGTCTTTCCATAAACAAATAGGTTGAAGTTTGGGTTTTTAGTGTGCGTTCCTATTCGGCTTCTTTTGTGTTTGTGAAACCTCCCTGTGTGGCCTCAAGCACAATAGCTCAGACTCTATTGTAAATGTGTAAAGCCATGTGTGAACTCTTTTGCTTTGTGTCGTCTCGTCTGTCGGGGGCTCGTCTGCATGTGCAACGTGTGAACTCTCCTCCCTTGCTTGGTTTCATCTCAGTCCACAGGCCCGAGACGGATCCGACCCAGACCAACACAGTCCATGACCCTCACGGCTCCGCCCCGGCCCTCCACTGTAGCCAGTCCTATTACGGCTGCTGCCCAGACGGACGCACTTCGGCTGCGGGCCCCCGGCGCCTGGGATGCCCACAGGGCCCGGCTGCCGCTCCTGCCCAGCCGTCCTGCATTCAGACCAGGTACCCGGCTCCAGGCTGTCATTACGCTGCGGTTACTGAGGTCACACATGGAGTCTGTCTGTCACTTTTATGGCGTGACGGCTCTAACCAGGGACTGTTCTGCATCACGTACGACCGCAGTAACTACCGCGAAATGACCAGGCTGACGTTGAGGTTTTTCTTGGAAAATGTCAAAGTTGCACATTTTCTGTTATTTTAGGCACAAACGTTCAGAACAGACTGTTTTACTGTTTGTACCTGCTCTCTTCTTCTCTTCTTCTCTGTGTGTCAGTTACGGCTGCTGCCAAGACGGCGTGACGGCTGCTCAGGGCCCCAACAAGGAGGGCTGTGTGGAGTTCGTGGCCCCTACACCCACTGTAAGCAAACACGCATGACTGTCATACACTTTCATGTACCTTTAACCATAATACACCATAATAATAATAATAAAAAGATGCCTGTTTATTATCTACCCAGAGTAAAAATTTGTTTTAAAAAGTTAGAATTTGTAAATTTTCATTCTTTCATGCACTTTGTGTTTTTTGTGCATTATTATACAGATCATTAGATAGTGACAGTGGAGAGACAGAACATGCAACATTAACCATGAACCAGGGATGTTACAGTTCAGTATCTGTTCCCAGGGGTTTTAGCACCTTAGACAAGATAACAGGAAGCAGCTCCTAAACACCAGTGACTAAAAGGAAGTGAAGAAGCAGCGTAAATCAGATCGAATTGATTTTCATCAATTTTTTTTTTTTTAAAATGCCCTTTCATCTAATCTGCCCTGACGTGTCCTCAGGTCGCTCCCTCTCTCCCTACTGAGAATGCAGTTCAGTGCCGGACCACCACCTACGGCTGCTGCTACGACCGCACCACACCTGCAGGAGGACCCAACGGGGAGAGCTGCCCCAACCCCCCCAACCACAGTAAGAGACTGAAGGACCACACAACATCCGGTCATGACTCCTGCTTGTGCACAGACACAATGTCACACGACAGTAATGACCTCTGATCACACGCATGTCATTAATATCAATCTCATTTTCTTTTCTAATTATTTTACGGCGTTTTAGAAAGTAACCGTACAAAGATGAGATGAAATAAAGGAAGAGACAGATGGAGAATGATGGGCAGTATGTGGTTAAGCTCCAGGCTACCAGGGCGCCCCAGTTTAACGTGTTGGCGTTGACAAGAATACTCATAATAAACAAACAGAAGTTACGAACATTCAGATCTGACGGAAGAAGAAATAGGCTTTTTACTCAGATCCTACTTCCACCAGATGAAAACCTTGTTAAGAGAATAAATGTATGAAGTGATCTTTCCTCACAGACTGCACAGTGTCATTAAACCAACAGGTGAGACTTTGATCTGGACTTTACCTGCTGCTGACTTCACCTGCTCTGTTTCTTCGCTGCAGTCGAGCGCTCCATCTGCTCCCTGCCTCGTGCCGCCGGCTCCTGCAGCACCTGGGTGTCACGCTACCACTACGATGTCATCACCTCCAGGTGCGTGCACTTCTGGTATGGGGGTTGCCACGGCAACAGCAACAACTTCATGACCCGGGCGGAGTGCCAGAGGGCGTGTCGGGTGCCCGCGCCCGGGCCGGTCGCTCCCGCTGGAGAGCCGACCTCCAGGAGAGAGTCCACCCCTGCGAGGACCCCGGCTGGAGCAGGCACCTCGTCTGGAGGAGGGTCCAGAGCAGGGGGGTCCGTCTCTGGAGGGTCGACAGGTGGGCAGTCGCGCAACATGGGGAGGATTTTCACGGTCCAGGGAGGCTCGACCGGCAGCACCGGCAGACAGGCCACGAGCGCCGCCACACACGCCCACAGAGCCAGAGTCTACCTGCGGGGACGCCGGCCCTCACCTGTCACTGCCGCACAGCACAGCGGCCCAGCTGCGAGGTAAGACCCCGAAGACCCAGGGAGCGTGGCGAAAAAGCTCACTCCTGCCCCGGCCCCTGCCCCTGCCCCTGCCCCTGCCCCTGTCCCTGTCCCTGTCCCGGCCCCTGCCCCTGCCCCTGCCACACCACCTCAGGCCTCATGATGCTGTTCACAGCCCCTCCCCCCCCGATGAAGGAGCCCCAGTCCTCGCTGCCTCACTCTGGTTCTGACCACAGAGTGAGCTGCAGGAGATCGAACCACCGTCCAAAGACAAACCACGTGCATCATTCATCCACCACATGAAAAACCAGATCTAGAATGCACCAGAAATATTTTCAAATAATAATAGTAAAGGTTCAAAATGAAAGAGACCAGTTCTCAAAAATCTGATTTTTAAAACTTACGTCTGAAATTGTAAATCTCTTCTCCAAACTCTTGAGACCGACTTAAAGAGGAACTCGACACCTCCTGAAGAGCTTGTTTTTACTGACCCCTGGTGGTTTAACGCCTCGCCTTGCTGCAGTGATGTAGACGTGTACTCCAGGGTGCGTCGGTACGCTGTGACATCACCGTTGGTTGTTAATATAAGTACGACAAAGCACACCCGACCTCACCTTCCAGCCTGGTGTTGAGTGACTCTTTATATTTAAACGGCCGCTCTCGTTCTCTATCATCCGTACAACAGAATATTTCATGTGCTTTATTCTATGCAACAGGCTGTTTATGTTCACTCTTGTTGATGCTGATAATAATCCGAACCCTTGCTTAGTAAACACACTGCAGCTCCACTGACTCTCACTTTCACGCCGGCTTCAGCAGCATCACTTTGTTTCTTCCTTTAACGAAACATCAGGAGAAGTTGACGACCTCACAGCGACCCCCCCCCCACACACACACACACACACACACACACATGGACTGCTCTTCTCTTTAAGGCTCCTGGGACTTTTCACTGTCTGTCTACGGTTCATGTCGGTCACCTCGTGCTTATCGCTGTCCTCCTCACTGTGTCAGTCGGCGCCACCTTTTGTGCTCTGTGTCTTAACCTTGGTGTCGTCAGATCAAACTAATAAAGGTTCTGCTGTGATGCTTCATGTCACTGTTTGTGTGTCGTCACTAAATCCTGTCCCTGTTTCCACCTGACATTTGTGTAGTTGTGTGTGTGTGAAGTAGCAGCCACGCTGGGAACTTCCTGCGGGTTTCATCTGGTGAAGAGAAGTCTGTCCTTCTGTCTCCTGGTGTGTCAACGTCACCTCTGATCTGTTGTTTTTGAGGGGGAGGTTGAACTGTTTGTCTCGTCACTTTTCTTGTTGCATGAGCCACAGCTGGGTTTCTCCTCTGTCCTTTCTCTCCCAGCTTTCCTCTGAAGCCAGGTTGTGGGCGCTCTTTATGCCTGCTTTGGTGACTGCTAATAAAAAGTACCAACAGTAGAGCATAAAGTGACTCTTCTTCCTCCTTTTCCTCCCTTCACTCTTCACTTCCTTTGTTTTCCAACTTTGTTCCTTCCTCCTGTTTCTCCTTCCTTCCTTCCTTCCTTCCTTCCTTCCTTCCTTCCTTCCTTCCCTCTGTCCTTGTATCCCCTCATGTCTCCTCAGTTTGACCCTGGGAGGAGTGACCATCGATAAGACTGACCCGTCCACAGTGGAAGCGTTAGTTGGCCAGACAGTCGTGCTGCCCTGCAGAGTCAGCCCGCCGCCGTCCTCCACCGTCACCGTGGAGTGGAGGAGAGACGGCATCCCCCTGTCGACTCGCAGGTCGGTAAAGCATACACACACACACACACACACACACACACACACACACACACATTTAATTTAGCTTTCTGTCAATGTTTGTGATTATTCTTTTATTTATATTGTCTTCAGGCATCACCAGCAGCCCAACGGCTCCCTGTTAGCCGGTCCTCTCGCTAAGGGCGACTCCGGCTGGTTTTTGTGCGTTGCCACTCGGGAACGTGAGAGAGACCACCGCTACATTTACCTCTCTGTCTCAGGTAATGTGCATTCACATTATCAATATATTTATATGTTTGATAAATATATAAATAAAGATGATAAATTCACAACAGCAGATTATTGGTGAAGCAAGATAAAGACAAAGAAAGTGATAACGAGACGTAACGTAACATAATATGACGGTAACACTAACACAGATTCAGACAGGCGCAGATTCACAAAGTCTTTTGATTAAAGAGCCATTAATGTTTACATTTTTATTTATGGGATTAAAAGATTTATTCCATTAAATTCAGCGTTTTTGACATGATACTTTCAATTTACAATTTATAACATATCAGTTTTGTTTTTATCAGTTACCAAGTTAATTAAGATTTAGTAAAGACAGATAAACAGGTCAACAGTGCAGATAAAACAGTGAAGTCCAGATTGTCTCTATAAGGATTAAAGCTCTTTAAGAAAGCAGCAGTTACTCGTTAACAATCGGCTAATTGGGGCCAGATTCGGTCAAAACACTAATTTGACCGACTTCAACCCCAATTAGTTCGTCACACGCCGAATCCTGAAGACACATGCGGGTGATGTCACAGATGATGTCAGAACATGATGTGTTAATGTGACATTATGTAAGTGAATTGGAAGGAGCAGCTCTAACTTTGTGTCTCACAGAGGGAACGTCTCCGATGGTTCCTACCTCACTCCCCAGAGACAGTCCACTCCCCCGGTAAGAAACGTCTCTGCCCCTCCTTAAATTAAAGCTTCACTAAATCTTCTTCCTGTGGAACAGAAAGTGGAGAAATTATACATTTTTACACACACAGAATTGATGAAGAAAGATGTCGGGACAATATCAGTGAGCTGTAAATGACCATTTCTCTCAGGTTCAGTATCGACCGCTCAAGCTCGTCTCAGCTGGAAATGCGAGCGGGACAAACTGCCAGGCTGCCCTGCACCATCGTCCCTCCCTCAGCTCTGCAGTCCGTCAGCATTCAGTGGACAAAGGATGGACAGACCCTCAGTGACTCCAGGTAATTCTCACTCTGCTGAACTGATTTATCTTCTGTCTAATTCTGGTTCAAAGGCGAGAGAAAAGTAAAAGTAGGTTTTTTATGATGTGAGGTAGTGGACGGCAAAAAGAAGGTTTCAGTCCGTGTATGTGTCGCTGCTTTGCACTAATGAAGGATCAAGATTATTACACATACATTTCAACAACTCTCACTCTAGTTGTGATTGTGATGCTTAAAGATTTTAACTGTGATCCAGAAAATCATTGTTTCCATCATGTTCTTGTTCCTCTGCACCGGCGACAGTCAGAGCAGCAGCCATATTGTTTTCAGGTTGTCCGTCTCATTCTCGTGGACACGATATCTCAGTGACGCCTTGACGGAACTTCTTCACATTTGGCACAAAACATTCACTAGGACTCAAGGATAAACTGATTAGATTTCGGTGATCAAAGGTCAAAGGTCGAGGTCATGGTGACCTCAGAAAAACACTTTTTAGTCATTACTCAAAACTTCACAAAGAAGTTATGACCAAATTTTCTTTCATGTGACTCTGGATAAACAGGGATGTAATCTGTGGAGGCGTTCATGGTCCTCAGGGGATGAAGCTTAATGAGCTTGATTTTCCATCTAGACGCAGCATGAAATTGATATTTGTGGTTTAAGTGAAATCATCATCATCGACTATTTATTTTCTCAGAGATACACTGACGCACAGATTATAAAAGCAGAAAGAAAACAAAGCAAACAATCAGAAAAATAAAGAAATCACATGCATTCAGGAACATTATGATTTAAAAGATATGAAAGAATATTTCTAAACTGTCCCAACGTTTTCAGGGAATCAATATTTAAAGTTATTCCACGAGTCCGGAGCACAACATCTAAAGGAACAACATCTACATTGAAGTCTATTAGTGATGTGAGGTAACTTATTTCTGAGCGTTTTATAGATGAATATAAGTGTCATGTACCAGTGTTGATGTTGTATTTAGAAGCAGAGTGAGAAATGTCTCAACAACTATTGAATAAATTGGCGTGAAATTATTTCCCGTCAGGTTGAATTGTTCTAACTTAGGCAACTGTTGATCCAGAGACATCATCAGGCGACTGACTGCTGTGTTGCAGGTTCACCCAGCATTCAGACGGCACCCTGACCGTCGGCGCTCTGACGTCTGATGACTCCGGTGTCTACACGTGCACGGCCTCCAGTCATCAGCAGCTGGAGCAGAGACAGCTGCAACTCCGAGTCCAAGGTGTGTTTGAGTAAAACATCCAAACAGAACATGATGTCTGTTCTGACTGCCAGAGACCACAGACTGAACTATTCACCCTCTGTTCTACCGGCTGTTACCAGCAGGCGGCAGTAACAGTCAGTGTTAGAGGGCCACTCCCCCAGGAAACAGCCAGAATAATAACTTTATAATGGTGTAACTGTTTTTAAAAGGAGGAAAAAGATGAGTAATAAGTAAATTTTATCTGATTTTTCTGGTGTAATTTTCCAGCGGACCTGAAGATCACGACAGCTCCGAACAACATCCAGGTGTCTGAAGGCAGCACAGCTCTGCTCCCCTGCGTGGTGTCAGGAGAAAACATTAACATCGGCTGGTCCAGGTAGAAATGAACATGATCTGACTCGACCTCATCACACACCATGAATATCAGCACGGCACGAAACAACACTGAGCGAGAGCTTGGTTTCAAAATAAGATGTCAAACTAATAAAATAATGATACTTTTAACTTTAAAGGGTTGAATTTGAAAGATGTTCACTTGATATTCGCCTCCAAAATACAAAATACATTTTTTCTTTTTAACTTTTTATGTGTTTCATATGTTCTCATAAATATTTACATCACAAAGTTCATAACTCCTGGAGTGTAGTGATGGAAATAAGACAGGGGAAGCTCCTAAAGAAAATCTAAACTCTAGTCAAAGTTCTCTTTATTTTAACCTTCAGTTCATCAGTTCAGAATCTGACGGAGATCAGCAAGAGAAACTCATTTTTGATTCTCCAGAACAATAAATGAAACACCAGCAGTTAAAGAAGCGACGCAACCTCTGAATTTCCTTTCCCATTCTCTCTTGCTACAGAAACGGCGTACCGGTGCGTCCAGATGGTCGTAACATCCAGATGTCATCTGACGGCAGCCTGATCCTAAACAACGTGAAGCCGTCAGATGAGGGAACCTACACCTGTAACGCTTACACTGGCATCTACTCTGTGAGCGCCACGGCTGAAGTGAGGATCATTAAAGACACACAACAAGGTGAGAATCAATCTAACTGCGAGAAACTGTGAGAAACTGTGTCTGTTTATTTCATGTGTGGATAAATTTAGTTTTAGTTTCTGGTTTGTCAGAAAATAATCAGACTGAGCTGCCATTTTATTTATATACTACTATTTGTGTGCAGTGGTTCAAACATCTGCAGCCAGGCTCCTGATGTTTAGCTGATGGAATAATAAACAAACCTTTCTCAGACGACTCGACGTATATAAACTCACATCTGTCATCTCAACATTAATTAACTCCCCATACAGAAATGTAATGTATGTCATATATGTTCCTGTATCAGAGTGATGTTGCCATATGTGTCACCTATATTATTATCACATATATAAATCCTCTGGATATATGAGGATATAAGTTTATAACATACATGAAACACTTATAGTAATATTATAAATATCTACATGATGGTGTAACATATTGTGATCATATATGTTAAAGATATATATTTAATTTATATAAAACAACACGTATAAAAATATTAAATGTTTCTTATTCATTATAAACAAGTCTTTCTCAGACTTTGGGGCCACACTCTATTTAATATTGACACATAATGACGGGATATTTATTTATATAACATTATTCTAAAATATAAGTATACATACACTAACATACATATTGTATGGGCGAGACATATATGTCAGTATATTAAATTATTCCAATTTCTAAAAGGTTTCATATGATTTTTACGTGTGTTTTTATTTTATATGTGCATATATAACATACACGGACAGTCAGTGTTCAGTAAGTACAGACGTGACGTCTGTGTTTGGGTTTACAGAAGCACCGCACCATGTGCTGAGTATTGATCTGACCCTGTGGACTGTGTTTGATTCCTCTGCTGTTGCAGGTGTCGATGTTCCTCCGGAGTGCGTGGACCAGCCGGAGCTCGCCAACTGCGAGCTCATAGTTTACGCCCGACTTTGCTCCAACTCGTACTACTCCAGCTTCTGCTGTGCCAGCTGCACCAGGCATTCACAGAAGAACGAGAGGTTTGGTCGGCTAGGCTAAAGACACGGGGGGGGGGGGGGGGGGGTTCAAAACTATGGTGGGAGGCGGTTTGTGTTTTGGAGGACTGCATTTTTAAAAACTCGAACTTTCAACTCTGAACTGCTGCTTTTGCCAAAAGGACTTAAAACACTCACATCTGAGCAGGTGGAGCAGAGGGCGATTTAAAAGGGACTGTTTCCTGTCGGCGTGGTCGAGTCTGTGAAGCAGGAGTCGCTCCACAGCGAGCGCTTCGTTCAGGGAGTCTGGGCCTTAAAATGTAGGGAGCATACAACCTTGTAACTGTCTGCTGAATGTGATGAGGCAAAGCTCAGACTTTCTCCGTCGTTCTTCCGTCACATTTTTTTTAAATTAAGTTATTACTCACTGGACCTACTGTACAAGTTCTCTGTTTTTAAGAGGATCATAGCTTTTCCTTTGAGCTCGTGAAAAAGATTTAACATGTTGTGAAACTACTTTATATCTGCTGTAGTTTTGGCCACTACTCTTCTTTTTTTAAAGCCTTTCATTGAGACAGGATTCTACTTGTTCTGTGACACACAAGGAGCTCCTACCACACTGTTTATTTTTATGTAATTATTTGATAATAAAAATAATATTTTGATAAAAACCCCGATGTGGTTTGAATGACTGAAAACTAAAACATGACGCGTCTTTCCAGTTGGCGCCACAAGAGGTCGTTCCACATGACGAACGAGATGTCTCTACATGTGGGAGGAATATATCTCTGTGTATCTGGTTGCTGAAGTGTGTTAATTTGAATTAATCAATAATATTTATTACATCACGTGACATTCTTAAATGTAGTGAAGCTGCTGTTTTCAATTATGAATCATCAATCAATTACACATTCAGTGTTTTATCAACAACTTCACTTCTTTCAGAGGTTTCAGGCCGTCACCTCAGACGGGTTTGTTCAGTATCTCGTTAGGCTCGTTAAGAAGACTCGTGTCCAGTATTGATGACTATGATATGTACAGTGTAGACAGTATAGACAGGGGCAGGATATATATTATTACCTATCAAGTTGATTAAAAGTTGACACAGCGTCAGACGAACATGAATCCATAACAGACAAATGCATTTACACTTGCTTTTTCTTAATTCAACATGCCTGTAAGAGAGACCGAGACAGAGTGAAGAATTCAGGAGAGAAATGGATCCCAGTCAAATCCGTAATCAATACAGCAATAAATTTCATTCACACACTTCACACGTCAGATACACTACAATGCTTACACATGGTTTCAAGGTGAAGCTGGACCCTCTGTCTTTGTTTCCCATCGAGGTCAGGGGGAAGCGGTTTGCTGTGAAAAAGGCTGCTGGTGTCACAGGTGTAGACACAGGTGCTCTGTTCCACTAATGATATGAATAACTTCATTTCTTTTGAAGGTTTCAGGCAAGTGTTCAAGTTTATATTCATTAATGGAAACTCTTGGCTTTAAACACCAAACCTCCCTCCATCGTCTTTGTTTTTACTGCTCCAGTTGTTGAATATCTGCGTCGCTTCTCTTTTTTGGGGATTTATTCATTTTTCACGACAACAGCATCGGCATGTTGTGGTACGGCTGTTCTTTAGCATTATGTTTGGTGCAGGCCTCTGCTGGTTTGGCTCAGTGCGTTCGGCTGCATGAAGTTCTGCCTACAGGTGTTGAACTTCAGGAACTTGCACCTGATCCAGTTTAAGTCTCATATGAAATATCGAATGATTAAATACCAACTGTATCTCAGGTTTTTACATCCTAAAATATGGTTTATGAAAAATATTGTGAGGCAATTTGCACTTTCTGTTGTTTGGTTTTAGTGACTTGATAATATAATAATCTTGAAGTTTTAGGTGCTGGAGGTGTTTTTACCTTCGTGACACAGTTTGAAGTTTCATCCTTGTCTGGAAGCTTTAAATAACCAAACAATCTTTAATGTTTTCTAACAGAGATAAAAAACCAGCCGCTTATAAATTCACCTAAAGGTCAATGTTTCTGTTGCTGCTTCTCACACCGTTTCCTGTTGATGTGACTCCAGCGAGCACAAACATGTTTTTGAAGGGAACACATGGAGAGAGGAGAACGTGCTCGAGTCCCACTGGAGGTTTCACAGGTGGAAAATAAAAGTACAGTTTGATGAGAGACGGTTTGGACAGAAGCTTTTAGTACGTTTCAAATAAAGTCATAGGTTTTCACAGATCTTGGAAAACTGCATCTTTTTAAATAAGCACCTCAGACATGGAATAATCAGCAGAGAGACCCACACGTGATGTAAATGTATTAAATGTCCATATATGAAATATTATAAAATATGAAGTCAAATCATACATGTTCATATATTTAAAAACTGTATATCAAACATATTAAAAATTGGAACAATTTCATATATTGACATATATGTCTAGCACATAAATGTTTATGTGTGTATGTTTATATTGTAGACGTATGTTATATTTACTGTATATATCCATCACAAAGCTTCTCAATATCCGTCGATATAATATACATACAGTAAATACAAAAGATAGAAACCTCAAAATCCTTTTTTATAAATTCATACTAAAAGTTATAAAGCATGTTGTTTTGATTATATATCGTTTATCATACAAAAATTCATCATATAGATTGTTTTAATAACAAATTTAACTGTGGGTATTTCCAATATGTTATGAACTTATATCTTCATATATCCAGATGATGTATATATGTGATAATAATATATCCTCTTATAGGTGACATATATGGCAGCATCCCTCTTGATATAGGAATATATACGTCATATATTACATTTCTGTAAGGGAATCTAAAATTAGATGAACTTATATCCACCGACGACTTCAGGAGCATCATAAAGAAAGTGGTAAATGTACTTGTTTTTCTTGAGAGGACATGAAGCTCAACTTACTGTCATGACGTACAGTACATGTGGTATTATATGTTTTATGCTGTATTTTAAGATGTGGTGTTTGTGTGGCTATCTTTGCCAGGTCTCTCTTATAGGACGTATAAAGGAAAATAAATTTACTCCAGCTGATAATGTTTCAATCTCTGTAACTGCAGCCAAATACATTTTCCATGTGACTTATTTACTGCAACATAAAAGCTTCAAATGCAACTGTGTGCACCAGATCAAAGTTAACAGCTGTTGTATGTAATACAGCACATAGTTAAGTTGATTGTGTAGCTTCAGTTGACACAGAGATGGAGGTTTTCCCAGCTGTTTGCTCAGAGATGAGCAGTGTGGGTGTGAGTTGGTGCAGAGATGCAGGTGCGGCCTGTGAGCCGGAGGTTGTGGTGAGGTGGAAGTTTGCACCTCTGTCATTTCTCAGCACAGAGAGCAATCTGCAGGCTGCTGTGTGACCACATCCTCTCCTCTGCACAGTTTCAAGCCCCAGTCTGTCTTCTCACAACACCAGCTTTGACCTTCTTTTGTACACGGAGGAGAACGTTGATTTCCTGTTGTTGTGTGGTCGACACACACTCATTTTCTTTGTTTCTGACAGTGTCTGAACTAAAGGAGGAATTTCTTAATTCATGAAGAGAATACAAACTGTAATGCATTGCTTATGTTCTTGGAAAGTGGAAAAACTAGATATGACAAATAAACCCACATTAATAACTTCAAATAATTTCACAAAAAGAAAAAAAAATCAGATTAGTTGATGGAATCTAATTTAATATGAGTCACATCATTGGAAAAGCTTGTAATGAACCAAATGGACCTGAGATGTTTCAACACATGTAGGTGGATAGTAGTTGATTTCTCAGAAAACAGGCCGGTTGGTGAGCTGCTAAAAATACCTCACACTATCAGTTCAGTGATGAGATGTGAGAAGAAAGAGGGAGGATGGAAACTATTGCATCAATTTGGAGCAACTGACAGATGTTGCAGTTTATCTGTCTAATCCTCAGGACAAACCCTCAAAGAAAAATGACAGAACATGTTTGTCAAGATTTTCCTGAAACACTTTTATTGAGAAGAAAACAAAGCACACAACCGTTGAACCACCACAAACACATAGAATGATGCATTAAGTATCGATAAAAACTTGATGCTAAACTATTTGCATGCTGGTTATAGCTTTAACATTGTAAAAAGAATAAGCACAGAACTGTTAATCGAATGGCTCATTGATATACAAGTGCAAATGCACTATAACATACAGCAGTAGAAATATAACTACTATATTTTCAGTTGTATTTACAGAAAACAAGATAATCCATCTGCCAGAGTTGGTTCACCTCAGCTCAGCTCTCAGTACTTCTGCTTTCCAGTTGAACCCTGAAACAGACAATACACAAACACAACAAGTTCTTTTTATCACCTGTTCATTCACATAGTAAAATATATGGAGCCAGTTTTATGTCAAGGACAGTTGATGAAAAGTGTTTGACAAACCTGAAGTTTCCACACCAGAAACGCCACAAAGGCTCCATAGATGCTGCTCTTGATGATTAAAACAGTGTAGGAGAGTTTGAAACTCTGTGTGCTCCTCAAATATGTCACTGCACAAAGTTCAAACATTCAGATGAGTTACATGGTTCAAAGAGGAAATATCCAATGCACTTTGTGGAGACAGATTATATACGCAGCTCTTGGTTTATATACATGTGCTTATGAATTCTATCTTTTATTTTATTTGAACAGTAGATATTTTCGGTTTTCAGAATTGATGTGAGGTGAACAGACGCTCATGATGATATATTTACCTCTTGTCTTGACACTTCCGTCACTTCCGGCTGACAAGAAATAAGAAACGGATCAGACAAGAACAGATGATTGTTTACATGTATGTCCAGCAGTAAAAAGATCAGGTTTAGGTTATTTCTGAGTTCCACATGAACATACCTTCAACAGCAAAAACTGTTTCGTTAGTTTTGATAGTTTTGTTCCCATTGAAGAAGCTGACAAAGCACGAGAAGTTTGTCCCGGGTGTGGTCCAGACCTCGGCAAGGACCCTCAACCTGCTGGTGATGAAGTAGGTTCCATTATCCAACCAGGCAGCGGGGTCAGTGGCCACACCTTTGGTGACATTCTTCGCATTAACCTGCCAGAACATACTGACATGGTCTGGGTAGAAATCCCTGGCCACACAGAGTAAGGTCTTCTTCCTCTCCTTCTCATCTTTCAGGTTTCGACACTCCTTTGATGAAGGTTTAAACACTGTAACTGTCGGTGGGGTGATTTTACGCGCTGGATCTACAAGGACAAAAGAAATAAATCAGTAGATTAAAGCTGCCTGTGGATCTACAACAAACCACCGTCCAACACCTAACTCTAAAGTATATGTGACATCTTGACATCAGAATTTATACAAGAACACAGGGACAGCAAATCACACTGAACATTAACATCAAATACAACATGATCATTACAGCTTACATTATTCACACTGAGAGTCACCGAGATTGAACTTCTTCAGATAAATGTTTGTGTTTTATTTAAAGATCTTACCAAGAACTGTTAGCTTGGTTCCTTCTCCAAAATAAGCAGGATAACTGCCAGAGCACGCTGCTGACTCTCATGTAAAAAACTGACAGAGACTTACAGTACAGGAGCTGAATGAACCTCTTTTTACTACATGTGACTTCCTCATAAGCCAGTCCATATACAGAACTGTCACTAAATCTCATTTATCTCAATTTTTTCCTCTAACGTTTTAACATAAAGAAAGAAAGAAAGAATCTTCTGTATTTTCACAGCTTTAAAAAAATTCACCATAACAGGAAGTGTGGTGTGAACTTAATAAAGTCTTTTAGCGCAAAGATTTACCTTTTGAATTTAGTTCTTTTGTCTTTTGACTGTAAACCTGTGCAGCAAATGTAGAGTGGCTCAGTTTTTACAACCCGAAACTTAACTCAACAATAATTTCACACATTATTCACACTGAGAGTCACCAAGATTGAACTTCTTCAGATAAATGTTTGTGTTTTATTTAAAGATCTTACCAAGAACTGTTAGCTTGGTTCCTTCTCCAAAATAAGCAGGATAACTCTGAGAGCACGCTGCTGACTCTCATGTAAAAAACTGACAGAGACTTACAGTACAGGAGCTGAATGAACCTCTTTTTACTGCATGCGAAAGAAAGAAAGAAAGAAAGAATCTTCTGTATTTTTACAGCTTTAAAAAAATTCACCATAACAGGAAGTGTGGTGTGAACTTAATAAAGTCTTTTAGTGCAAAGATTTTTCTTTTGAATTTAGTTCTATTGTTTTTTGACTGTAAACCTGTGCAGTAAATGTAGAGTGGCTCAGTTTTTACAACAAACAAACTTAACTCGACAATAATTTTGCACATTTATGTTAAATGAAGCGGAGAAAACAAATATTTATGCATATGATTTTTATCATTTTCTTACCCAACACTGTCAGTTTGGTGCCACTGCCAAAGTAAGCTGGGTTGTAGTTCACACTGATACAAGGCTACAGGAAAAACTGCTCAACCATTCAGCACTTCTTTGTGCTCTATTTTCAGATAAACTCACTTCTTTTTTTTTTTGCACACAAACATGTAGCAATGAGGCGGATTCATACTGAATCAAATTAGATGCTAACAGCATTCGAACTTATTTAAGGTGAATTTAAGAGGAGGAGATAAAAAAACAAACCCTCAGCTCTGACCTGGCAGATATCAAAACAAACTAGTTTGCAAATACTGTATATCCTATGGATTATTATCTTAGCATTGATTGTTGTTCCTTTTAATTATTTTCATTGTCTTACCTACAACGGTGAGTTTAGTTCCAGCTCCAAAGTAAGCCTCTGACTGGAAACTCACAGTATTTGACAGGGCTGATAAGAACTCACTGTGAGAGTAATACTCTGGGCACAGAGCCAAATGTTTTATTGCCACACTACTTTTGCGTGTTTTTAGCGGATACATTTTCACCATAATTTCTTTTCTACTTTCTGAAAAGTGGAAATAGTGTGAGTGTAATAAGTATATTTTAATATTAGCTGTTTATTTAATTCGTACTTACAGGAAACAAGCTGTGAAGTATTCTCTAAGGCTTTTTGCAGGTTTTCTTACCTAAAACAGTGAGTTTAGTTCCAGCTCCAAAGTAAGGCTCGGCGTTGGAGCACAGAGACAGACAACTGTAACAAAAACTCTTCCTACCGCCTCGTAATCTGAGCCACTCTGAAATTATTCAGGCTTTCTCACTCTTTGACATGTAATAACATCCACTCTGATACTTGGAGACAAATCGTCCTCGACTTATTTTCACCATTTCAAACATCTAGTCATGTTAATGTGGTAATTTCATGATGATGAGGAGGTGTTAGAGCCTTAAAGTGTCTTTACATTATCAAAAGCATCTCAACAAAACTTTACCTCAACAACATTTAATGAACTTTCAAATGTTTTCTTACCTAAAACAGTTAATTTTGTTCCTCCACCGAAGTAAACCTCTGCAGCACCAGAGTCACAGTGACCTGATCAGTGCTCAAAACAGCCCAAGATGCTGCTTTTACTGTAGCTCTGTTTGTTTTAGTTTTGTAATCAGTGTAACTGTTTGTTTAAAACCAGCAACTCCATCTTGTTTTTAACAAATTGTGTGTAATACAAACCTCATTCACCCTGTTGGCCTCTTTTAACCTAGAACCTCGGCTGAAATGAGCCTCATACCGACAGAGTTTAAGCTCCAACTTTAACTAGACTTGCTGTCCTACTGTAAATAAACATCACAATTACATTTCTCTTTTCCAGTTGTTCTGATTTCTTACCTAAAACAGTTAATTTTGTTCCTCCTCCGAAGTAAGCTTCACCAGCATTAGAGTCACAGTGAATCTGATCAGTGCTCAAAACAACCAAAGATGCTGCTTTTACTTTCCCTCTGTACTTTTTAGTTTTGTCATCAGTGTGACTGTTTGTTTAAAACCAACAACTTCATCCTGTTTTTAACAAGTTGTGTGAAACTTGGCTTCTATTTAACTTAGAACAGTCAGTTGTGTGTCTTGTCTGAAATGATCTTTGTACCGACAGAGTTTAAACTCCAACTTTAACTAGACTTGTTGTCCTACTGTAAATAAACATCACAATTACATTTCTCTTTTCCAGTTGTTCTGATTTCTTACCTAAAACAGTTAATTTTGTTCCTCCTCCAAAGAAAGCTTCTGCAGCACCACCAGAGTCACAGTGACCTGATCAGTGCTCAAAACAACCCAAGATGCTGCTTTTACTTCCCCTCTGTACTTTTTAGTTGCCTTTAAATTTAATTATTTTTCTAAACCAACAACTCCATCCTGTTTACAAGTTGTGTGTAATACAAACCTCATTCATCCTGTTGGCCTCTTTTAACCTAGAACCTCGGCTGAAATGATCTTTGTACCGACAGAGTTTAAACTCCAACTTTAACTAGACTTGCTGTCCTACTGTAAAAAAACATCACAATTACATTTCTCCTTTCTAATTGTTCTCAGTTCTTACCTAAAACAGTTAATTTTGTTCCTCCTCCAAAGAAAGCTTCTGCAGCACCACCAGAGTCACAGTGACCTGATCAGTGCTCAAAACAGCCCAAGATGCTGCTTTTACTTCCCCTCTGTACTTTTTAGTTGCCTTTAAATTTCTTTTTTTTTTTTTTAAACCAGCAACTCCATCCTGTTTTTTACAAGTTGTGTGTAATACAAACCTCATTCACCCTGTTGGCCTCTATTTAACTTTTAACCTAGAACCTCGGCTGAAATGAGCCCCATACTTTAACTAGACTTGCTGTCCTACTGTAAAGCAACATCACAATTACATTTCTCCTTTCTAATTGTTCTCAGTTCTTACCTAAAACAGTTAATCTTGTTCCTCCTCCGAAGTGAGCTTCACCAACACCACCAGAGTCACAGTGACCTGATCAGTGCTCAAAACAACCCAAGATGCTGCTTTTACTTCCCCTCTGTACTTTTTAGTTGCCTTTAAATTTCTTTTTTTTTTTTTTAAACCAGCAACTCCATCCTGTTTTTTACAAGTTGTGTGTAATACAAACCTCAATCACCCTGTTGGCCTTTATTTAACTTTTAACCTAGAACCTCGGCTGAAATGAGCCTCATACCGACAGAGTTTAAGCTCAAGCTTTAACTAGACTTGCTGTCCTACTGTAAAGAAACATCACAATTACATTTCTCTTTTCCAATTGTTCTGATTTCTTACCTAAAACAGTTAATTTTGTTCCTCCTCCGAAGTAAGCTTCACCTCCAGTATTAGAGTCACAGTGAATCTGATCAGTGCTCAAAACAACCCAAGATGCTGCTTTTACTTTCCCTCTGTACTTTTTAGTTGCCTTTAAATTCAAATATTTTTTTAAACCAACAACTGTGTGTGTAATACAAACCTCATTCACCATCCTGCTGGCCTCTATTTAACTTAGAACAGTCAGTTTGGTATCTTGTCTGAAATGATCTTCGTACCGACAGAGTTTAAGCTCAAACTTTAACTAGACTTGCTGTCCTACTGTAAAGAAACATCACAATTACATTTCTCTTTTCCAATTGTTCTGATTTCTTACCTAAAACAGTTAATTTTGTTCCTCCTCCAAAGTAAGCTTCACCTCCACCAGAGTCACAGTGAATCTGATCAGTGCTCAAAACAGCCAAAGATGCTGCTTTTACTTTCCCTCTGTACTTTTTAGTTGCCTTTAAATTTCATTTTTCTTTAAATCCTACAACCATCATTTGCTGCATTACGGTTTGGTTTTTAAGTTTTGTGTTATACAAAACCTTCTGAGAGCAGACCTGCTTCAGCTTGTTTTCTCTGTTTTACAGGAAGATTTATGAGATGAAGTTTTGACGTTTTACTCACCAAGAACAGTCAGTTTTGTTCCCTGGCCGAAATAAGCTTCGTACTGACACAGTGTTTAAGCTTCAGAACAAAAAGCTCCGAGCTGAACTTAAACCATGCACAGCTTGAATACAGTAACTTTGTTCCTTCAAATACAATGTTTTTTTTTAAATAATTTGTTCTGATTTGTTACCATAGACCTATTCATAGATTGTCTATACAATATTTGTTTCTTACCTATTACAGTCAACTTTGTTCCTCCACCGAACTGAGGTTCATAACCAGCAGTGTCACAGTGCATTTGATCAGTGCTCAAAACAGCCCAATATGCTGCTTTTACTCTGTTTCTTTACTTTTTAGTTGCTTTTAAATTTAGTTTATTGTCGTAAATGTCACTTTTCTTAAAATCCAAAACAACACTGTTTGCACTGCAGTCTGGTTTTTAAACGTTTTATGCATCAAAAATATTTTTCCTCAAACAACAGACCTGCTTTAACTCGTTTTACTTGTTTTAGAGCTGAATTCACGAGAAGAAAGTTTGATGTTTTACTCACCAAGAACAGTCAGTTTTGTTCCCTGGCCGAAATAAGGTTCGTTATTGACACAGTGTTTAGGCTTAACATCAAAAAGCGCTGAGCTGAACTTGAACTATAAAGACCCATGTGCATTTAAGAGTCTTAATGGATCACTTCAGTGATAAATGTTATTACATTTATTCCATTTTAATCACTCCTGACTTACCCAAAACAGTCAGTTTTGTTCCTTTTCCAAAGTAGGCTTCATAGGCATTGTCACAGTGCAAAAATACTGAGCATGAAACTCCTGTGTTTTTCTACCAGAATTATCTTTGTGAAGTTTTTACCAATACTTCAGTTTTTACGTAGACTCTAAAGCAACTTGAAATTTACCAAAATACAATAATAAACAGAAATATTTACCTAAAACTGTCAGTTTGGTTCCTTGGCCAAAGTAAGCAGGCTCATTGTAGCTCACAGTGTTTTCTGTTCAGCTTAATATTTCAGCTTTTTCATAACAACAGTTTGGCCTTCACTTTCACACCAGCATTTTAAATTTTTTATGTTAATTGTAGTGAACTGAAGATGTGAGAGCTCAGACTTACCCAAAACAGTCAGTTTTGTTCCTTTTCCAAAGTAGGCTTCGTTGGCATTGTCACAGTGCATAAAACTGTGCATGAAACTCCTGTGCTTTTCTACCAGAATTATCTTTGTAAAAATACTTCAGTTTTTACTTAGACTCCAAAGCAATGTGAAATTTACCAAATTACAGAAATAAACAGAAATATTTACCTAAAACCGTCAGTTTGGTTCCTTGGCCAAAGTAAGCAGGCTGTTGGTCACAGTGTTTTCTGCTCAGCTCAATATTTCAGCTCTTTCACAGCTAATACGTCAGTTTATAGTGAGACTCTAAAGCTGTGTGGAATTGTGAAACTTGCCAAAATACAATAATAAACAGAAATATTTACCTAAAACTGTCAGTTTGGTTCCTTGGCCAAAGTAAGCAGGCTGAGTGTTGGTCACAGTGTTTTCTGCTCAGCTCAATATTTCAGCTCTTTCACAGCTAATACGTCAGTTTATAGTGAGACTCTAAAGCTGTGTGGAATTGTGACATTGTGAAATTTACCAAAATACAGTAATAAACAGAAATATTTACCTAAAACTGTCAGTTTGGTTCCTTGGCCAAAGTAAGCAGGATCAGAGTAGGTCACAGTGTTTTCTGTTCAGCTTAATATTTCAGCTTTTTTATAACAACAGTTTGTCCTTCACTGTCACACCAGCATGTTTTAATTGTTTTAAGTTAGTTGTAGTGAACTGAGGTTGTGAGAGCTCTGACTTACCCAAAACAGTGAGTTTTGTTCCTTTTCCAAAGTAAGCTTCACTTCCAGAGTCACACTGACTTTCTCCTCTACCAAAAAGTCTGAAAACTTTCCATGATCATGATGTTGAGACACCGTCTATTAATCCAGAGAATGAAGAAGCTTTAAGATTGTGAGATGATCTTCATAATGTCCAGAGTTTTTTGTGTTTGTCAAGATGAGTAAAAGAAGAATCCAGACTCTCTAAATATAATTCAAAAGTCATTTTTCAAACTTTTTCCAACATATTTCTGCATATAAATGAACTTTTCAGTGTCAAAGTGTCCTACCATCAGACACAGCTTCAGATTATTGATGTTTTCTGCTCTACCAAGTGTTTCAAGTTGCCTGTAGCCGTCTACACAATGGGTGTCAATGGGAGGAGGTTTTTGTACGGCGGCTCTATGGGATTGTATCACCGTGGCCCCCTGTCCCCACGATGAAAAAGCATAATACAAAAACCTAAAGTCTTTCTCGTTCTCTGCTCTCTCCTTCCCCCACCCATCGTCTCCATATCTCAGCCTCCATCTCTCTCTGTGTGAGAGCAGCTGTACAGGTTGGGCTGACTGACAGCTGAACAGGCTCCAATCTGACTGTTGCTATTTCAGTGTCGACTAAGAAAAGAAGCAACAACAGAGGGAAGGAAAAGGGAGAGTGTTTTTGTGTTTGTTTATAGCTGTTCAGAGGAAGTGACACCTCTCATGGTCACACCTCTTTATCCACCCAATCATCAGTGAACTGAGAAGACGCACATTTATCAAGTAGTTTGCATAAAAGAAAAAGGGTTGCATTAAATAAATTCAGTGTGTAACAACTGATGACAATATGCATTAGATATTACACCACTATAACTGGCAAAATACATATTTAAGTTATGATGCAATACAAAACTGATAATAAGAAGTGAATGCATCATAATGGGATTTATTATATCATTAATCACTATTATCATTAAACTGTTAAAAACATGTTACAGCACTTATGACTTAAAGAATTGTATTGCATTGCAATTTCATTTTGGAGGAGCTCATCACATTAACACTCATGTATATCCACTTTAAAGAGAGTTTTACTACATTTTGATAAGTTATGACATCATCTGTCAGTCATTACATCATCACAGGGTAAAAACACTGTAGTGTCCCGCATCATGGCTATCTCACATGAGTCATCATTGGTTACAGGTAAAAGTTGTGAGTTCAGAATTTTAAGTCTAAGCATCAAAATACAGTATAAGAACCAAAAGTAAACAAGCAATATAAGCAACATATACATTATATAATTATTGATGCATTGGTGGTGAAGGTGGTGCAAGTTTAGTTACTGTATATAGACTGCTGGTCTATAATACACCATCATTTATTTGTCAGTTATATTTGATATTAATTAGAAACTAAAGAAGTGAAATAAAAATATTAGAGTAAAAGACACACTTTTATATTTGCTTGATTGTGAGGCATAATAAGCATTTCTATGATGTTATGTCACACTAATACTGCAGAGGTCACTTATATCCCAGGTGTAAATTACATACTTTTCTTCTAAAAAGCGCAAGATGATATTTTTTAAGTGCAGTCCCACATGAATCCTGTAGAGGTCAATGTGTGACAACCTCTTAAATTTCATAGTATACAGTATATAGTATAAACTTAAATTCTCGTCAGGCTGCACACAGAATTATAGTAAAATAAATTATAATAATAGCGGATACTTAATAAGAGTGTGACACAGATGAGAAAGTGGTCAGGACCATAATACTGGATGTGACAAATAATGTTCACCATATTAACACCTGCTCACTTATCTGAGCTGATCAGCTCTGTGGCGTCGCTGCAGGATCATCACTGAGCTGCAGGGGAGCAGCTCTTCGCTTTAATTCATGAATACATGTTCATCAATGTCTTTCTTTTGAAATAACTTTACTTTCATATGTTCATTGTCACACTGATGTTGGTCTGTTGTCATGGAAGCAAAATCCTATAGTTCAACACATGAACCCCCCCCCCCCCCCCCCAACTTCTCGTCATCTCTTCCTCTTGAGGTTGTTGTTGAGCTGCTGAGACTCTCTGAACCATCGTGCTATACTAGAGGCACAGTAATACACAGCTGAGTCTCTGGCCTCCACAGACTGCATCTGCAGAGAGGAGTTGAGCACTGTAGGCCGAGACATGGTGTACTTGGATTGGTTGAAAGGAGCTTCAGTGCTAGATATTCCTTTATTGACAGAATATGTTACCATCTCCATTTTCTTACTGCTGCTTTGTCTGTACCAGAACATGTAGTAATAATCGGGGTTGTCTTGTTCACACTGCAAAGTTACAGTTTCTCCCACATGACTCAATGCAAACGGAGGCTGGTGAATCTTTACACAGAATGAGAAATCTGGAGAAGAAAGAAAACAGAACAACAGGTACATTAACAACTTCAGTTAGGACATGTGAAGGAAAACAAAAACACATCACAGTTTTCCTTCAGCTGAATTCAAATGTTCTTACCAGTGGAGATTAGAACTGCAGCCAAGAGCAGCTTCATTTTCACAGTGATCATAAAAGCTTAAAAGTCACAAAAAAACCAGACCCATGTGCAATCACAGTCACAACGCTCTCTCTGTCTACAAGCTGAACAGTTGCAGGTACCGTTAAAGTCAGCCTCTGAAACAAGCTCTGACCCTCCTCCTGTCTCTCAGTTCAGCTACAGTCTCCTAGTGGCCACCGACCAGCAACTGCACCATAAGCTCCTTCCTCAAGCACCGTGACAGTGATTCCTAGAAAGCTCAAGAGATTATTGTAGTAATTGTTGCCAACTATTTGTCGTGGACTTTCAGATTACTGTGACACACAGAAACATCAGTGTTAAAGTGAGAAAACGTGAATTTCTCTGAAGTCTTTTCAGCAGGAACGCAGAGACGTGGACCTACATTACCAAGTCAGCAAGTGGAAACACATAGCCTAATAATAAGGATACGCAAATCCATAACTAATGCATGACTTATCATTATGTGACTGATGCAAGAAGTATCTGTAGTTCAATTAGTATCAATAAATGATCATGGAACTAATGTCTCTACTGGGGTTTTCTATCATCATCTATCAATTTTTGGGGCTTTTGTTGTTGAGGGTCCGGATGATGTTCCTATCACCTCCCTAAAATACTGCATAGTCCAAACCCTCTGCTTTTGATGTTTGCTCACACATATTTATCATCTGATCAGATCCAAATTAAAAGGCCAATTAAAAGATGTGACAACACAATGTTTCTGACACAGTTCAATTTATCGTCTGTAAATTTAGCATGAAACCAAACAAGCCACAGCTCCTTCCTGCCTGCACGTCATGTGTTACAGTCAGACTTGGTATTTGTATGACTGCCTGGTGTGTGTGCATCACTGTGACTGGCAGCACAGTAGTAGATGCTGCTGTCATTGAGAAACACTTCAGGAATTTGAAGAGAGAAGTCATTTTTGGCTCTATCGAGAGACGACTGGAAGTGCACCACAGACTGGTCAAACTCTGTTAGGAGGAACTCCACCGGAGCTCTGTAGTGGTTTTGTCGGTACCAGAGCATGGTGTAGCTGCTCATGTCGAACCCTGGACCCAAACTGCACTCCAGCGTCACTGTGACTCCTGGGTGAGACACTTGATCTCCAGACTGCAGAACTACAACAGTGAGACCTGCAGCACATCACAAATAATATACACAACAGTGAATGTACATTTGATGGGAATTTGACCCTTAAAGCGCTGGTTACCTACATCCATTATGAGTTAATGTATAAAAACCCACCTGAGTTTAAAAGAAGTGACAGGTAAAGGACTGCGACAAGCATGTTAGCAAAGATCTGTCTTCCAGCTGAGTGATGCAGAGTCACACTCTCCTCAGCACAGAGGAAACACAAGGTCACACGCTCCCATGATCACGTGTTTGGAGGAGAAGTACTGTCTATCATTCACTGATTATAACCTGACACTTTGCATGGAAGCTCATTTTTGATGAGGTTCAGAATTGCCAATACAAATTCTGATATTTTTAGATTGATGAGGCAAGATTTGTGCTGCGGTTGTTGTTGATATGTGGCATTTAATTTAATGCAAATGTCAAACATTCAATGGTTAGACAACATTTATACAATCAAAAGACACTAAAACTCAACATGAAAGTGAGACTGTGTGAGTATTTTAGGTAGCGTGACATCTCACGTATCATTATAAATATTTAATTTAAAATAAGTAATTGACCATCAAAAGTGTAAATAAAATGTGGAAAGTTAGAATTCCATTAAATATGATAAATTATTGAATTAGCCATTGATTGCCTCATAATGATGTAACATACAACTTGTTGTTAAATTATTAGTAAATGCAATTTTGACATTATTAGTTAAAATATGTAACAGCTCTCATGATGTCTCTATTGTTAGCTAATGTAATGTAGAAGCTCTAGGATGTAGTTAATATACAGTTGAGCCTGAGTGTCAGAGACCACTTTCCCAGATTTTATTTACATTTTTATTATCTAATTAAACATAATATATATAGTCATATATAAATGTTTCAGATTGGTTTATGGTGTTTATCATTTTTGCTATATTTACAGTTTGCAGAAGTTCCTCAATTACAAATTATATCGGATAAATAGTTAAAGGTCACACCAATTAGTTACCAAACACTGATAAAATCCCAATAAACAGTATAATATGTTCAAATCTTAAATGACTGAAACATTCAGGAGCTGCCATTAGTTTGCCATAGGAGGTTTTTGGTGCAGCAGTGGTATTAAACCACATCAGTGTGTGCTAGCAGCGCAGAAATACACAGCTGAGTCTGAGGAATCCACTGTGAGAAAGATCAGAGATCCTCTCATCATGTCTTCTCTTTTTAACTGGAATCTGTTTCTAAACTGGTCCTCGTAGACCGGGTCACTCATGATGACTGTGTACCCAATGAGGCTCATAGACTGACTGCTCTGTTTGTGTTGGTACCACAGCATTGTTTGAAGGCTGCTGCCATCATGACTGCAGTTAATCCTGAGCCCCTCAGTCCCTTCCTTCACCACCTGAGACGAGGACTGTTCAAAGGTAACACTCTCCACTTTTCCTGTGAAAAAAAAATCAAAAAGCATTGCAATTTTAGGGATTCATCTTGGAATCGAAGAAAAAATACCAAAGTTGTACCATGAACACACAGTGCTTTTACAGAGACAAGAGTATGTAATATTCAGAGAAAAGTTATATAGAATTAAATCTGACTTACCTGTAAGCAAGAACAGTAAAAATCCAAATATGTTTAAAGCTGAAGACATCCTGGAAACTAAACTTAGAGCTAGATGGACCTGTGCAATAAAGACAAATAAAAATAAATTTACAATTGCATGCAGCATGTACCAAAAGCCATAGTCAGAGGTGGAGCATGCTTAGTCTGACAAACATCTTACAGATCAAATGAGACATGAGTATTCACTCGATACATCATCCCTCCTCTTCCCCACCTTCTTCCTCTGATCACAGCTGATCTAATCAAACACAAGCAAACAAAAAAATAAGAACATTTTAATAACTACAAGTAACTACAATTTATAAGTGTATTATTTCATTGTAATCTTTTTAAACATAATTTACATTTTTGTGTATAGCCTCCTACTTTCAAGACTTTTGGTTTAAGTCAGTTTTAAGACAGCTGATTGATAGATAAAGTTGAGCCAAGGTTATCTGCAAGTTCATTCCCACTAATGACTGGCAGAACTATTTACAATAGAGGTAATGTCATGAAATTTGAAATTTGAACATTGTTCTCATGTCACAATTTTTTTTAAACCGTTTTTGGAAAAATAAAGGAAATAGACGTCACTGAAGATTGACAGCTAACCTCCCTTTAATTTATCTGACATGCTTAATTACATTACATTGTATTCTCGATGATTATGACTATCATAACTTTCATGGGCTAATATGTTTTAATTAATACATTTAGAATGTATTTCTCCTCACTGAAAAAGATGAAATCAAAAATCAAAGAAGGTTTAAGAATATTTTAGTACCAGTCACTGCTTAGCCTATTGTATAATTTGTGTTTATGTCTGCCTCCATTATTCCTTATGATTACTTTGAGTTGTTATGCTGTGGACAGTATGATATTTTTTTTGTTGAAAATATGAGTATTTGATCCAGTACTCGATTTAAATCACCTCCTGAGGTGATTGGATGAAAGCCTGCTGACGGTTGGGCCACGGTGGAACGTCATTGGTTACCGCCTGATTGGTAGACTTTTCAAACTGACAATGCCCCGCCCACTCGTTTGGCAGTTATTTTGAAAATTGCTGTTCGCGAGCTAGCCGTTGGTTAGGCTAATAAGTAGCTAAATAACTACCAACATTTGTTTAGTATAGTTTGTATAGCTTGTACAACATGACGACGACTGGCATAAACATTCGCATTTCAAAAGTGGATTTACGGCCAGCAGTTTCAAGACAGTTGAAGGAGGAATATTGACGTTTTCGCCCGGGGATGGAGTCAGTTTGGTGCACCAACTAGCCACCGCCAACGGTTGGACACAAATACTAACTGCAAGTTTGAACTGGACATTCCTTTCCCCGGTTTTTGGCTGTTTGGAACTCTTTCAAAAAAAGTTGACTCTTCTCGGAAATGCCAGGAGTCACAGCTTCTCTTCTCCAAGGTAAGAATGTGCTGCTACATGTTGTTAGCAAACATCAATGGTTTTCAGTCACCTTAACGGTTGTGCTAAATCCTCACGCGGTAAACATTAGAGTCCAGGGCTCAGGAGTAGGGTTAGGATATGGTGAGGTTCAATTTAAACATCACAAGACAAGCCTGGTTAGGGCAAGGACAAAGTTAAGTTCTGGTTACTATAAGACAAGAGATATGGGATATGTTTAGGTTCAGGTTAGGGTAATATCTGTTTGCCCTTGAAGACAGACCTGCCATCCTCGCACTAGAAGTCGAACTCAAACAGACCCTACAAGTTTGAATCAGTTTTACAGTTCTGCTTCTGGCTGCTTGGGACTCTTTCAAAAGGTTTACTCTTCTTGGAGTAGCCACAAATTATGTCTTCACCTCACCACAATAAGCATTTGAACTAGTGCAGACATGTGTATTATATTATGTTTTGGCTTTGTTTTTTGTTTTTTTTTGCCTGTTAAAAGTTAAGGTGCAATATAATGGAGAATTTGAATGACAATTTTGTGCAACCAGTTATAGAGTTTTTGGTCCACTTATTGTTGTAAAGGAGTGTTTAACATCCTAGTTAAAAGCTTTTTTTTCATAAATATGGGTTTATTTAAAAAAAAAAAAAAAAAAAAGCCGGACTGTCAGCATTGTGATGCTGGTTAACATTCTTGCTCTCCAGGTGTTTATTGATTGTGCAATAGTGAGCTGGGTCCTGGCTAATTTTATGTTATGCTTTTGTTATCTAATCTATTTATAGTATTGGAATTGGGATGAGCTTATTTTGAATTATTTGTTTGAGAGGCTGAGCTTTTTTGATTGGGTGTTGTTTGGCCCATGTATGATGCTTAGATTTTGTTGATTTGGGAAAATATGAATACTTAGGCTTGAGCACAGGGAATGTTTTGTTGCTGCTTTGCCTATAAGTTCATATTATCATATCATACTCTTTATTCATAACAAAGGTCTGTTCTCTGTGGCTGACTGTTCATTCAATGTTCATTTTGATCTTCATTTTTGTTACGTCACCTCCTGTAGGTGGTAATGTGTACATTCCAATACCAGAACTGAATGGATAAATTGGGCAAATCTGAAATAGCTGAGATATGATACTGTCAAACTAATTGATTTGTCTGATAAAATGAGTTTGTAAATACATACAGTTTTTGCCTGTATATTGTAGTCCTAAATTTCTCCCATTCCATTTAACCTGGTGAGTTTATATCACACTCTATGTTGTCAATGTTAGAACAATTTAGCTGTTTTGAGGCTAATTCCAACAGCCTGCCTCATAAGATCTTGAAAATGATAACAACAGAAAAAAGGGAACAGGGTTTTTAGTAATGGGGTGACATTAAACCACAACACTGTGTACTGGCAGCACAGAAATACACAGCTGAGGCTGATAGATTCACATTGCGAATAATCAGAGCTCCTGTTTCGATCTCATTTCTTGTAATCTGAAAATTATTGTTGAACTGCTTTTCATAGCTGGGGTCACTTCCAAAGTTGCTGTATCCTATCAAGCTCATCAAACCTCTCTCTTTTTGCTGGTACCAGAGCATTACATAGAGGTTGCCATCATCATGACTGCATTTAATTTCCACACTGGCTGCTTCATTGACTATTCTTGGATGAGACGGCTGAAAGGCCACACTCTTTGTCTGATCTGTAGGAAAAAAAAACACACATTTTAAAGGTAGTTGATACAAAAATTGCAGTTAAAAAAACTTTCATATCTTTGCTGTATAAAATTAACAACACAAGCTCTTTTGTAGCTAATTCAGTTACATGGAAGCAAGATGAGAATAAATCCAATCACAGTTGGAGACATCTTCCAGGTTTGTGCTTCTGCAGGAGAAACACAGCTTCCTCTAATGTAAATGTAAATCTGTAAGAAGAGAGACATTCCCTCTTGTGCAAATGCGCACATCTCATTTACAGGAAAAAGATGAGGGTTTTTGCTGGGGGAGTGGCATTAAACCACATCACTGTGTACTAGCAGCGCAGAAATAAACAGCAGAGTCTGATAGGTTTGCTGTGTGAATAATAAGCGTTCCTGTTGTTGTGTCTTCTCTTGTGAGCTTGAATTGTTTTTCAAACTGCCCTTCATAGTTGGGCGGACTATTTCCATATCCAAACACAATGAG